GGGAGAGAGAGGGGAGGGAGAGATAGAGAGAGATGGATGGATAGATAGATAACTAGATGTCTAATCTAGATGGCCATTACCAGTTCGGCATATCTTCACATGTACACCAGTAACTTCACGATCCAGTCTACTGGTTAAAAGCCAATGGGGCCCCACAAAATAAAGCATGAGTCAATGCTCTGTTGACAAATGCCCACTAGCCCAGCCACTTGCCCTAGCCCATCTATTCCGTATACCTCACTTCGAGCAAATCTATTCACTTTCTACAGCGACTTTGTTATCTCGCCCAAACCATGCGATCTTTCCTTTCCTTACCTGTACCAAGGAGGTCAAACCTCCGTACTACCTGCCCTTCACCCCCAAGGTCGTCATGGCACGTTCCGTCAGCTGAGTCAGCTGGGTAAGGTCAGAGGTCAGACCAACATGGCGGCCGCTGAGTTGGAAACTTTGGAGACGCAGAAAACAGGTACGGTTTCAGGAACATTTCGCCAGGAAAACTTCTACAGACTCCAGCTATGAGTGGAGTAGGGTTTCAGAAATGTAGGATGTTGTCAGTTTTTGCTGGCATCACATTTGTTAATTTGTTGGCGCATTTTCCATGTAGAAGGGGGAGGGGGGCGTTCCACCAAAGTACTACTAGTACTAGTACTCTTTTGTCGAGGGGATACCCGGATATTTCATGCACGAGTAGTCCACTGAGCTGTGTTAGGTGTATTTTTCCCAAGTAAATCATATTTATTTGAATTAGATACCTGTCATAATTCCGGGGTTTTGAAAAAGAAAGAAACGCCAAGATCTATTACTAAATGTCATCCAAAATTATTTTCATGTTTGTGGAATACAGCCTTTCTCACAAAGCTTTGATATTATAAACGTTACGTAAAAGAAGTAGCCTTTTAATTTGATGCAACAAAACCTTACCATCCCTCCCAGCCCCTCCCTCTGCAGAGTTACTGGACTGTCCCTTCTCCCTGCTGGAGGTGGGATGTGCAGGGAAGGTTCATGTCTGCCCCGGGGGGGATACGGCCAAACACCCGCTGCCACCGCTGACTACTGTAAGCAATCCTTTCTTCTTTTCAATGTGTTTCTTAAACTTTGCGTAGCACTTGAAAAAAATGTAGTATTCTTCCTTCTAGGGTTAATGATATGTGTACTGATGGCAGTTCCCTGGCCTTTCCATGATTTGAAATCAACGGACAATTTTGTAGTACCCAATAGCTCTCACTTGATTGTAAAAAGTACAAAGTACCTGAAGTACTAAATAAAACTAGGTCACTCCGTGATCAAATTCAAGGCGTGCAGTGGACATTGAAAAATTTAGAGGTACGTGTTGTTAAAACCTTTTCAAGTTGTCACTGATTGAAGAAGTTTTAAGAAATGTCTCTGTATAGAAAATAACCTGCATAAATAAAAGCGTATTATACACAAGTTCATGTAGTAATTATACACAGAAAACATGGAATGAGGCCTTGCTGTATGTTGTGCTGCAGCTCCCCCATGGTCTGCCGCCGGTACTGCAGGACCTACAGGCCCAGTTGAGAGGGTACCTCCAGCGTCCTCAGGACCTCCCCATACATGACTTCCAGAAGGCACAGAAGTGAGTTTTAGTTTGCCTAGTACCCATAAAACTTGTCCATTGGAGCCAACCTTCCAAGAAGGAACAGAGTTATCAACCAAGGATTGAGGTGTTCAAGAATTCATTCTTTCCTAGAACTAACTCACTGTCACCAAGTACAGTAGGGGCATTGTCATTAGATAGCTTTAAACAATGTCTAGAGCTAGAAGTTCAAGGGTTAGGTGTAACAAGTCGATCGGTGTGATATAGCCAGCTGCCGCCGCGCCGCGTGCCTGCAAAGCTGGTGTGTTACGCCGAAAGGCAGTTATACCGGCTATACAGATACAGATACAGAAGTGAGTTAGTTTGTTGGTTTGCCTACTACTCAAATGCTAGTAACTAATTGTTTGAGCTGCACAGTTGTAGTGTGATGCATTGAGGGTAATATCATGTTATGCCATAGTTGTCACAGCCCAAGACATAGACAAATCATGTCTGGACAAGCATGTTTCAAGTACAAATGTATGGTTTAGTCTCTATCTAGACAATAACTGACAGTGTTTTCAAGTTTGGTTGGTTGGTTATATTATTAGTATGCCTACAGATGGTATTCCTCCACTAGAGCTAACCATGTACAATGTACATACTATATCATGAAAGTCCATCTGTGTTGGTACTACTTAGTAGTTACATGTTTAGAGTTAAAACTTTTTTTTTTTAGATCCAACACAAAGAAGTTCTCTAACCTAAAGCTTTCGCCCAGTCACTCTGGTCTTCCTCAGTAGACTGACCCAGTGAGACCCCATGTACATACCTGAATGGCTGCCCCATGGATAGAATGTTGTGTAAACTTTTCTAACCCTAACCCCAGGTTCTGGCCCCGTGAAAGAGACCCAGAGTCCCTGTACTCAGCAGAACTCTGTCCTGTGCAGACCACACTTCAGGTGGACAGGAACCCCACTACTGGGGAGCTTCTCGGCTACAAGGAGGTACAAACATCTTATGGTTTAACCTTCTACTAGTACTAGTACCTAGTACCTACAAGCTGGTGTGTTACGCCAAAGGGCGGTTATACCGGCTATACCGATACAGATCGATACAGATAGTACATGTTCAGAATTCTCTTTATGTTTCAGGGCAAATGTTTTGATACAATGTAACATATTACATAGCTTGAATGTTTGTCTGTTTTGGTAAAAGTCATTACAAAACAACTTTAATTTGTCTTATTGCATATCAATCAATTATATAGTTCGTACTTGTAAAACTGCCTTTATGACAAGTCTCCAGTGTCACTGACGACTGTAGTGGATACTAGCTGAAACTTCTGACCATTTCCAAAATCATATTCAGTTGCTTGAGTAACATTTTTTGGAATATCTTATTGCCTGGATGTCTAACCTTCACTGACGTAACTGAACACTTAATCTGAAAGAGTATATTGACAGTATTAATTGTTGAGACGTCTTCCTCCTGCCTTTCTTGTCCAGGTGTATCTCCAAGACACGGGGATCTCTGCCAAGAACTCGCTGTCGCTACGGCGACCACCAGGACCCCCCACAGAGGCGACACGGGGGAGTTCCACTAACTACCCCTTCTGGCCGGGGGGGATGGACGAACCTGACCTGGGGACTGTTCTTGGGATGGAAGGGGGAGGGGACGTTGACTTTGAGAACGGTAATTAATTTTGTAGAATACACTTTAAAATATGAAAGACACTTTGAAAAGATTTCTGCTTGTTTTGTGTCTGAAAAAAGATACGTTTTCTCAATATAATGACCCCATAGCTCTGCCCAACTTCTGTCAAAAGGAAGAAGGGCAAAATAAAACATGAAAATGCAAATATTTGACAGACATGTAGCCACTGTCTTATTGATCCACTATATATTATTGGTTATTGGTTGAACCACTAATAATTGTGAGGGACAGTCAGGATTGGTCTATTTGTCTTCAAACTGGCCAACAAGAATTTTGTTTACAGATCTCTTGTGCTGTCCTCCCGGGTTTGAGAATGGAGTCGACTTCAAAAAACTGAAGAAGAAAGAAGAGCAGTTGGGTAAGTCTGTCTTATTAGTACTGTTGCTCATTCTATATGTAGTTTCATCAATAATGTAATCTGTATTTAAACCAAACGTACATGAACATTGCAAAGAGCATATGAAAATGACACAGTTTGTGCACATCCTGATCATCGAATGCAAGTCTGAAAATTGTTTCTTTTTCTGATAAAGTTTTGTTGTTGTTTTTTTTCAGCCAAGATTGCCGCCCCTTCCCAGCATGCCCCAAACGTGCTGAACCTGGCAGACATCCTTGCAGGGGATGATGAGATGGATTGGAGTGAGGAAGAGGAAGAGGAGGAGGTGAGAGAACTGGTTACTATGGAGACAGAATCATTCCATCAATCATCTTCATTGAATCGCCGTTTATTTGGTGCATTCAAGGATTGGTCTTCAAGTTTTACCTATGCGTTTTGCATCTCACAAGCTTCGTTAGCTCATGTTTCACTGTACTGTAGTACTTGAGTGAGTCCTAGTGAGCTTCAGGTCTGCTTTTTTTACACTGAGTAGATTTGTACAGTGTTTTTGTGGGCAGGCATCTGCTGCATCCCTAGAACTGAAAACTTTAAGGCCCAACTGGCTAGCAGGATAGAACTGTTACCTGTGTACTAGTATGTACTTGTGTTAAGTTTGATGTGTTGATGTCCAACAGGAAGAGAAGGAGGTTAAGGAGGCACCAACACTTCAGAGAGCAGACAGTCTGGAGAACATGCTTCCTCAGGTAGGGACAGTGTCTTAAAGATACTTTCTTAGTTCTTAAGTTTGATGCTACTTCCAAACATAATGTCACTGAGGGTATACTACAGTACTGTAGAGCTACATGTATCTAATGGTTACATTTTTTTTTCACAAAACCAAGTTGATAAAGAGTAGACGGTGTTTTGTCTCATGTAAGTTTTGTTGCTTGTCTATGATTGCCAGAGAGCCAAGCTGTACATGTCACAATGTTGTTGTATGTCTGTACATGTATAACAGGATCCCCAGGCTGGTGAGGTTGCCGGACCCCCACCCCCGGGGAAGGCCCCCCAGGGTGAGGAGCAGTGGGCTGTGAAGGTGGACATCAGCACGCCTGTAGCAGACTTTCACAGGAGGATTCCCAACCCTGCATACCAGGTCTGATAAATAACCACTGCAGTTTACTGGTCTTGTTTTTAGACTTCACACAGTCAAAATAATGGCTCTCCAACAACCCTGCATACCAGGTCTCACAACTAACGACTGATCCGTGATCTCGTTTTTATAGTTACTGTTACTAACAGTAGTAGCTGAAAAATACATGGTGCAACTATATGTGGCTTCCACTGTAGTAGTTTTATACTTCACCCAAAATAATGGTTCTCCAAAAACCCTGCATACCAGGTCTGATACATGTAACTCTGGTTAACAGACTTCTCTTCACATGTTTTACTTCTGAGTAGTATTGTTTTGGGTGGCACTGGTTTAGGTTTGTATGTTCAGAGTCTCCACAGTAAGATGTCAAAGTGAAGTCATAGACTCATACAAGAATCCATGAATCACAATACAAAGCCCAAAATACTTTCAAATCTTCAAACTTTCCTCAAAGTACAGACGTTCATGTCCAGTATCAGCTGAAAACAGCTTTAGTACACATACTGACCTTACGCATCAATGGCAGAGCTGTGCATAATTTTGTTTGTTTGTTTGTTTGTTTGTAGTGGCCGTTTGAGCTGGACGTGTTCCAGAAGCGTGTGACGTTTGTTTGTTTATTTGTTTGTTTGTTTGTTTGTAGTGGCCGTTCGAGCTGGACGTGTTCCAGAAGCAGGCGATTCTGCACCTTGAGAACCACGACAGCGTGTTCGTGGCGGCGCACACGTCTGCGGGAAAAACCGTGGTGGCCGAGTACGCCATCGCTCTGTCACAGAAACACGTCACCAGGTGAGGCCGCACCAGATGTAACACAGTCTGCTATTGGTTCATTAAGATGCGACAGTCTGCTATTCGTCCATTCAGATGTAACACAGTCTGCTATTGGTCCATTCATATTTTTAAAAATGTCACTCGGTGAAGCCATACCATCGGTCCATTCAGATGTGACACAGACTGCTATTGGTCCATTCAGATGTAACACAGACTGCTATTGGTCCATTCAGTTTCAAAATCATCAGGTGAGGCAGCTCCATTGGTTCATTCAAATGTATCAGGTTGTAAAACAGCCTCCTATTGGTTCATTCAGATGTATCACAGGCTGCTGGTCTATTCAGATTCAATAGATATGTCACCATGAGGCCGTACCTTAATTATTAGTCCATTCAGATGTATCAGATGTAACACAACCTCCTATTGGTTCATTAAGAAGTAACACAGCCTGCTATTGGTTCATTGAAATGTATCACAGCTTGCAATTACTTGACAATGTATACCATTCAGATGTAACACAGCCTGCCATTGGTCCATTCCAGGACAGTCTACACCTCCCCTATCAAGGCGCTGTCCAATCAGAAGTTCCGTGACTTTAAGCAGACGTTTGATGACGTGGGCCTGCTGACGGGAGACGTGCAGCTGAGACCGGAGGCCGCCTGCCTCATCATGACGACCGAGATTCTCCGCTCCATGCTCTACAACGGGTCGGACGTCATCCGAGATCTGGAGTGGGTCATCTTCGACGAGGTTCACTACATCAACGATGCGGAGGTGAGGAAATAGCTTGCTGTATCCAGAACTGGGCTTTGTCTGGATAGCCCACGTGTATCCAGAACCGTGTCTGGGGCAAATCTACATTCTTGGATACACGGAGACTATCCAGAACCGTGCTTTATGTTTATCCAGTTGATGCTCAGGCACGGTTCTGGATAGTCCATGCGTTTTGAGAACCGTGCCTGGGCACATCTACATTCTTGGATACATGGGGACTACCCAGAACCGTGCCAGATCCTAATCCTAACCCATGTAGGCATAGAGCTAGATAGGCATGGTTCTGGTTTATAAATGACGACAGAGATTCTGTGCTCCATGCTCTACAACGGGTCAGACGTTATCCGGGACCTCGGGTGGATCATCTTCGAAGAGGTTCATTACATCAATGATGCAGAGGTGAGTTGTATGCAGAATGATGCTCAGGCACATTTCTGGATAGACCACGAGTATCCAGAACCGTGCCTGGGGCAAATCTATATTCTTGGATACATGGAGTCATATACTTGCCCCCTAAGATATTTTTAGGGACAAGTATGGAAGCCTCGGTATATGACTATCCAGAACCGTGCCTGGGGCAAATCTACATTTTACATTTACCTGCTGAAATATTGATTTTTAGGACCATGTACTGACTGTTTGGGGCTAAAACTGTCATGTGTACTTGTGTTACAGAGAGGTGTAGTATGGGAGGAAGTGTTGATCATGTTACCAGAACATGTGAACATTATCCTGCTGAGTGCCACAGTCCCAAACACCATGGAGTTTGCAGACTGGATCGGGTCAGGACAATTTTCCTTACCTTACTTTTCTCAGCATAATGACGTTGTCTGGTTGATATTGATGTTTACCCTTAAGTTAGTTTGCTTAGTTTTGTCTATTTTCTTGCACCTTTAACAGTTAGTAAATAAATACAGCATCCATCAATCAGTGACAGTTTTGAAAGGTAGAAACACATACTCCAAATTTTCAACATCCACTGTACGTCTTGATCAAAGAGTGATCTAGTCTAGTGACAACACCAGACTAGATTTAGACTTGTGTAGATCTTCTGGCCTTGTCTTATGTTCTCATGAGACTAAATCACTCCGTGATCAAGGCGTACAGTGGACATTGAAAATTTGGAGGTACGTGTTTCTACCTTTCAAAACAGTCACTGATTGATGAATATTCTTCTAACTGATAAACTATATCTGACTGATGAACCTCTTTAACGATCTTGCACCTTGTCCTCAGGATCTAGAACTAATTTAAATTTTTTTCAATTTCTTTCTGTACAAGAAGTACTGGTAAGTAAAGATGTTTTGTCTTGTTCTTGAAGGAGGACGAAGAAGAAGAAGATTTACGTGATCAGCACGCTGAAGCGTCCGGTACCCCTGGAACATTTCCTGTACACTGGGAACAGCAAACAGACCAGCAAGGAGAGGTTTCTCATCGTGGACTCTGCCAGGAACTTCCTCACCAAGGGGTAAACTGTGTATACTCATTCTCTCACTCACTCTCTCACTCATTCTCTCACTCACTCTCTCACTCACTCACTCACTCACTCACTCACTCACTCACTCACTCACTCACTCACTCACTCACTCACTCACTCACTCCAGAACAGCAAACAGACAAGCAAGGACAGGTTTCTCATCGTGGACTCTGCTAGGAATTTCCTCACCAAGGGGTAAACTTGGAATTCAGGAATAATCTTTGTATACTCATTCTCTCACTCATTCATTTCTCACCATGGACGCAGCAAGGAACTTCCTCACCATGGGGTAAACTTCTCATTCAGGAAAGCTCTGTACACTAACTCACTCGCTAAGTCATTGTGTTTGTCTGTATTTTTAATTTTATACCCAGTTGGTACAAATCAATTCTTAGAATTTGATAACATTTCACAACATTTCAGGTACTATGCTGCTATAGATGCTAAGAAGGCCCGAGCCTCCAAGTCTTCCTCCGGGTACGGAGCCAAGGGGACGAGAGGAGGGGACCCCAGACAGGTGGGTAACTAGGGGTGTTCCCACTTTACAGCAATGGTCAGAATTAGGTACATGTAAACTGTGTACAAAGTCATATGAAGAAAAATAAGGTAAACAAACATTACACTTCCTCATCCCAACCCAAAACATGTGGTTTGTATGAGCCTATTTTTGAGGTGAAAATTGTGGCACATACAAATCTATCATATGATGGAAAGATAAGGATGTAAATGTTATTACCTAAATTTGACATGTCCCAAAATCAACAAAGATCTGTTTCTGCAACGTGTGGCTGTCGATAATCCAGGCCATCCAGCGGGACGACAAACTTCCCGTCGTGGCCTTCACCTTCTCTCACCTGTGTCTCACCTGTATCTGATCTATACTCACCTGTAGCTCACCTATACTCACCTGTGTCTCACCTGTGTCTCACCTGCAGGAGAAGAATGTGTGGCTGTCGATAATCCAGGCGATCCAGCGGGACGACAAGCTTCCCGTCGTGGCCTTCACGTTCTCCAAGCGCCGCTGCGACGACAACGCCGCCATGCTGACCTCGATTGACCTCACCACGGCCGCAGAGAAGAGCGAGATCCACCTGTTTATACAGAAGTCTCTACACAGACTGAAAGGGCCGGATAGGGATCTGCCTCAGGTCAGGTTCATTCTTTCATTCATTCATTCATCTGCTCATTTATTCCCTCACTTGTTCATTCATCCGGAAGTCTCTACACAGGCTGAAGTTGCCGGATAGGAACCTGCCACAGGTTTGTTCATTCATTCATTCATTCATATAGAAGTCTCTGCACAGGCTGAAGGGGCCGGATAGGGATCTACCACAGGTTTGTTCATTTCTTTACTCATTCACTCACTCACTCACTCACTCATTCATACAGAAGTCTCTGCACAGGCTGAAAGGGCTGGATAGGGATCTGCCTCAGGTTTGTTCATCTGCTCATTCATTCATTCACTCACTCACTCATGCATTCACTGTTTCATCACGCATTCACTCTTTCATATAGAAGTCTCTACACAGGCTGAAGGGCCAGATAGGGACCTGCCACAGGTTCATTCATTTACTTACTCACTCACCTGTATGTTATCTTACCTGTAGTTCACCTGTGTGTTGTCTCACCTGCATGTCTCACCTGTGCAGGTAAAACACCTGCAGGAGTTGCTGAAGCGAGGTTGGCCGTACACCACAGCGGGATTCTGTATCTCACCTGTATCTAACCTGTATCTCACCTGTATGTCCCACCTGTATGTTATCTCACGTGTATCTCACCTGTATGTCCCACCTGTATATTATCTCACCTGTTGTCTCACCTGCATGTCTCACCTGTGCAGGTAAAACACCTGCAGGAGCTGCTGAAGCGAGGGTTGGCTGTACACCACAGCGGGATCCTGTATCTCACCTGTTGTCTCACCTGTATGTCTCACCTGTATCTCACCTGTTGTCTCACCTGTATGTCTCACCTGTATCTCACCTGTATGTCTCACCTGTGCAGGTAAAACACCTGCAGGAGCTGCTGAAGCGAGGCCTGGCTGTGCATCACAGCGGGATTCTGTATCTCACCTGTCTGTTGTCTCACCTGTGCAGGTAAAACACCTGCAGGAGCTGCTGAAGCGAGGTCTGGCCGTGCACCACAGCGGGATCCTGCCTATCCTGAAGGAAGTGGTGGAGATGCTCTTCAGCCGGGGACTCGTCAAGGTCAGAATCTCTCATTCTGTTGTTCCTTTGGCTGCCCTATCCTATCCAGAGCTGTGCCTGTCTAGCTCTATACCTGAATGGGTTAGGGTTAGGATCAGGCACAGTTCTGGATAGTCTCCGCATATCCAAGAATGTAGATTTGCCCCAGGTACGATTCTGGATATGCATGGACTATTCAGAACTGTGTCTGGATAAGGCACAATTCTGGATACACACAAATTATCCAAAGCCATACCTGAGTATGATTTTGAATATGACATACCTCCCATTGTTGGTTACCTTGCCAGAACCTGAGAAATACGATTTTGTAAGTACTGAAACATGTTGTTTACTGTAAGTTGTTTACTGATGTTTTGCAGTTCCTGTTTGCCACGGAGACATTTGCCATGGGAGTGAACATGCCGGCCCGGACAGTTCTGTTCGACTCCATCAGGAAACACGATGGCACACAGGTTAGTCTTTAACTATCAATAACCATCAACCTATCAATAAACCAACCAGCGCAGAGCCCATCCCTCTCCTTGCACTGCCTTTTACTGCAGAATTCAGGTACCCATTATACACCTGGCTGGAGAGAGGAAAGCTGGCAGTGTGTGAAGTGTCTTTCCCAAGGGCAAAACATCTTGCCAGGAATGCCAGTGATCTCTCGGTCTTGTGATCTTTCAGTCTCGTGTCCATTAAAACCATTCAGTGACAGGTTCTGACTAGTACTAACTAGTACTGACCCATGGCCTGTTCCCCTAAAATGCAATAAATTATTATTATATATAATATTATACTGTTCTGTTGCCCCACAGATGCGGGACCTGTTGCCCGGAGAGTATATCCAGATGGCAGGCCGCGCCGGGCGGCGGGGACTGGACACGACCGGGACCGTGATCATCCTGTGTAAGGGGGACGTGCCAGAGATGGCAGATCTGCACAAGATGATGCTGGTAATTACATTGTCGATCTTAACTGTTTTTTTGTTCAGTGAGTTAACCTTTTGACTTATAGATAGGAAAGAGATGCTGTTCCAGTTACTTGAACTTTTACCAGTTTCAGCAGCTAGCAGTGGTCTCTGGGCCTTGCACTGAGCAAACTCATATTAATGTCTGTTCATTTTCTTGTTTGTTTACCTGTTTGTTTACCTGTTTGTTTACTTGTTTGTTTACTTGTTTGTTTGTTTCCAGGGTAAGCCGACCCAGCTGGAGTCCCGTTTCCGGCTGACATACACCATGATCCTGAACCTGCTGAGAGTGGAGGAGTTGAGAGTTGAGGACATGATGAAGAGAAGCTTCTCTGAGTTCCACACCAGGAAAGACACTCAGGTGCACCAGAGGGAGGTCAAGGACGTACAGGTGAGATGTGGGAATAAGACATTAGGCCACAGCAAGTAAATTTTATGGATGACATCCGCGCGTGCATTAATTTTTGCCTGGTTTTGGAAAAAAAAACCAAGAAATTTTGTTGCCCTCTGACAGTGCTCAACATGCCGGAGATGGGCAAAGATGTCTGTTGCCATGCTGGAAGGTGGATGGCAGATAACTATAAAGAAAGGGGACAAGAAAAGACTCTGATTTAATGTTTGTTTCTTACTTTGATGCAGTGATATGTGATGCTGACTGTGTATATGTGATGTTCCCACTGAATCAAAACCATTTGTAAACTGATTGAGTCAAAATCTTAAACTGTAGGAACCTTGTTTTTTTCGGCCCGCCTTGTTTTTTTTAGCCCACTCGCATTAGATTTGGAGTCTGGGGAGGATGTCATCCATAAAATTTACTAGCTGTGGCCTTATGTCTTAGATGCTGTCACTAAGATGTAATGACCTGGTAACTTAAAGACTTGCTGCACAATGAAAGATGCTGAAAATGAATACAAGAAAATAATTACTCAAGCAACTGGATAGATTTTCAGATATTTCAAGTAGCATCCACTTCTTTGGCAGTAACAGTTTTCAAAATCCATCCAGCTGCTTGTGTTCATGGTTTCTTGTGTATCTCATTACCTAAAAGTCTAACCTTCATGAACGACAAAACGATTATTTATCCTGACCTGCAGGAGAAACTGAAAACAGTGAAGGAGCCGGACTGCCTCATGTGCGGGGTCGACCTGGAAAACTACTACATGAGCTGCAAGGAACTCTGGGAACTCAGAAGGCAGCTGCAGGTCAGAGGTCAAAATCTTTAACAAAGAGTGAGCTAACATTTTCCTAAAGAAACCTTATAGTGCCCCACTAAATTTTTATTTCTCCCAATTTTGCAAAATAGTTGCTACTTTTCAGCTAGCATTGTTGGCCTGGCACAGAGTTTTTGGCTGAAAATTTGCATAAGATTGTCCAAATTTCCATGCCATATTTGCAGCTTGAAATATGATGATATTGAAGGTTCTGTGAAACATACTGTAAGACTGACATGTGTGTTTCCCACAGAAACAAATCCTGACCTCTCCCCACGGACTGAAGGCCCTGTCGGCAGGGCGGGTCGTAACCGTTAGCAACCACAAACACAATAACGCTCTGGGAGTGGTGCTGCAGGTACATTAATATTTCTGTCAACTCTGCATAGACTGAGACTTTGTTTTGTTTTGTTTTGTTTTGTATCTCAAAGTATCCCAGATATGTAAGTCCCATACGAGAGGATGTCCCTAACCAAAGCTAGGTTTGCTTGTCCATGTGTTTGGTTCTTGTTTATTTGTTTATGTTTACATCTCCCAGGTAACCTCGGGCAGCGGTAACGAGAAGCTCTTCACCACCCTGATCCTCTGCGACCCCTCAGTGTCAGAAAGTCCGACCTCTGACCCACGACCTGACCACAAGGTCACCCCAGTGCTGCCGAACTCTGCTCTCTTCCTGCCGGACGGGCCGTGTGGTCATGTGATCGAGCCGCTCCGTCCGGAGGACATCACCATGGCAACGACCTCCACCCTGAAGGTCAACGCTGACAGAATTGTGGACGATGTAAGGAAACGACAACAACCAAGGTTCAGGTGAGGTCAAGGTCAAGGAGGTTGCTAGAGGGCCCAAAATCTAATCATTTTCTGGGCTGATCATATCCTTAATCCACATACCATGTATTATAGATCCACCTGTTGAACAGCAAACACAGTTGCACATTGTGAATCACCCTTTTGCTTGTCTCCAGGAACGACCCACCCGGCCAGTCTGTCACCGTGGCGACCCAGGAGCTGCTGCGGCTGACGGAGACCCACTCGGGCGGGTTGACCCCGCTTGACCCGGTGAAGGACCTGGGTGTGCGGGACGTCGACTCCGTGGAGCAACTCCGGAGGAAACAGTTCCTCCTGGAGTCACTCCACAAGTTCTCCTGTGTCCACTGTACCAAGTTCAGGGAACACGTGAGTCCCGCGTGGGTTACTGGGTGGGTGGGTTGTCTTTGCATGGGTGGGTGGGTGAGTTGCATGGGTGGGTGGTTTAGTGTAATCCTGCTTTTGTCTGTGAAAATTTTAGCTCTTCTTAATGTTTCCTTTTTGTTTGTTTTGTCCAGTTTGCTGAGTTGAGAGAGAACATTGAGCTGAAGGACAGACTGAACCACCTGTGCTACCTGCTGTCCGACAACAGCCTGGCTCTGCTTCCTGAGTATGAACAAAGGGTACAGGTGAGACACATGGATTTCATACTTACCTTCCTTACAGGTGTGCTACAGGTGTTCTTACTTGGTCTGTACCCACCTGTTTGAGGTGGTAAAATGACTGCATTATTCGAATGAAGCAGGAAGCAGAAGAGGCTGTCAGAGCACTAACAGGCCTATAAAATCAGTAACTCACCTTACAGGTGTGTTCACCTGTTTCCACCTGCTGCAGGTGCTGAAGCGGCTGCGTTACCTGGATGCGGCAGGTACGGTGCAGCTGAAGGGACGGGTAGCCTGTGAGATCAGTAACCACGAGCTGCTGATTACTGAGCTGGTGTTCGAGAACGTCCTGACTGACCTCCAGCCCCAGGAGATCGCTGCTCTGCTGTCATGTATCGTGTTTCAGGAGGTCCGTATGTTTTACTATTATAGAGAACTTGTTGTGACTAGAAAATTAATATAACATATGCAAAGCAAATGCATAATCTTTACCTTGTTGTGAATGTACAATGTCATTATAGTATTACCAGTTAAATAAATTGCACTTGAAATACTATTTGCACATTTCTTTAAGAAAGAAAGAACATGTAATGATAATATCATATCATCATTGGCAGTCCAGTCTCGGAAGACTATATAACATAATATTATAACAGGTTTTGAAATGCAGTAAAACCTGCCCATTAAAACCACTCATGGGACTGATGGAATGTAGCCAGGTGGTCACTCTAAGAAGGATTCTTAAAGCTTGCGCCCATGGAAAAAATCTAACACATCAACAACCTGGTAAGCATTGATTAACTTTTCTCCTTTCCTCCACAGAGAAGATGTGTGGAGCCCACTCTGACTGAAACGCTGCAGAAGGTAACATTACATATAATATATTTTACATGTATATTTATATAGTGTGCGTTCTACATGTATGTCCCCATCCAGCACCGTGCCTGGGGCAAATCTAGGTTCGAGGATACTAACCAGAACTGTGCCTGACCCTAACCCTAATTAATTCAGGCATAGTACATGTAGGTAGGCACTGTTCTGGATACAGTAGGAAGTGCTTATCTGTTTTTCCCCCCTCCCTCAGGGCAAGGATGCGATTATCGCCATGGCAACGCGTCTTGCAGAGCTGCAGCGGGAGTGCGGGGTGAACGTGCAGGTGGAGGACTGCGTGGAGGAACTCAAGTTTGGCCTGACCGAGGCCGTGTTCCAGTGGGCCAACGGCATGGTGGGTAATACTGGGGCCTGACCGAGGCCGTGTACCAGTGGGCACAGGGCATGGTGGGTAACACTGGGGCATGGTGGGTAACACTGGGGCATGGTGGGTAAATACTGGGGCCTGACCGAGGCCGTGTTCCAGTGGGCCAACGGCATGGTGGGTAACACAGGGGCATGGTGGGTAATACTGGGGCATGGTGGGTAATCCTGGGGCATGGTGGGTAACACAGGGGCATGGTGGGTAACACTGCGGCATGGTGGGTAATACTGGGGCCTGACGGAGGCCGTGTTCCAGTGGGCACAGGGCATGGTGGGTAATACTGGGGCATGGTGGGTAATACTAGGGCATGGCAGCGTGAGTGCGGGGTGAACGTGCAGGTGGAGGACTGTGTGGAGCAGCTCAAGTTCAGCCTGACCGAGGCCGTGTACCAGTGGGCACAGGGCATGGTGGGTAACACTGGGTATGGTGGGTAATCTAGAGCATACAAGTGAAGCTCATGTTCAGAGATGGCTGGTGGTCCCAATATGTATGGATTATTTTACGCCTTTTGCGAAGAAATCTGGTTCTGAGTCCAGTATTTTCATAGCCTGCGTGTCAGCCTTTTCAGCTTTTGTCACGATCTGCTACCTACTCCTGGCAGGTAGCAGATCATGTGGAGCAGACAAAAGCTGAAAAGGCTGACACTCAGGCTAGCATTTTAACTCGTGTAAAAAAAATGGTGATTGACGATAAACCGGATAGTGAGTGAGTGAGTGAGTGACTGAGTGATATGACTTGCAGTTTGGTTAGATGTTTTTTTACCTTTAATATGATAAATCTGTGTCAGCATATTAATTTTGTGTTTTCTCCATACAGCCATTTTCCAAGATCACAGAGCTGACAGACGTACAGGAAGGTCAGTTTTAAAACTTTTCCTCTAAAATTTTTCTTTATAAAAGTTTTCTTCAGTGATCTTATTTTTTCTACAGTTCTATAAAAGTTTCGACCTTACATGTAGGTGGAGACTATAGGTTTTCATAGTAAAACGTTGAACTTTATTCCAACACACAATTTACAGAGAGATCAAACGTCAAATGATCAACTGTCGCCTTCATCAGGACTATTAATGACCAATCACTTCACAACGTGATCTCATGAGAGTTACAGTTACAATCATACATTATAGGTTTTCATGATGTTGGTGTTTTTCCGCAGGCGTGATTGTACGCTGTATCCAGCGGTTGGACGAAGCGTGTCGGGACGTCCGTAGCGCCGCCCGAATCATCGGCGACCCGAACCTCTACGCCAAGATGGAACTCGCCTCCGAGAAGATCAAGAGGGACATCGTATTTGCCGCCAGCCTCTACACCCAGTAGCGTTTCAAGTAGTACACATAGTGGAAGCAAATCGCTGGGTGGTCCCACATTGATGGTTAGGGTTGAACATGGCAGGCGCATGTTGACGATTCTTTATGGCAATTCATCTCTTGAAAATGGTGTACTGGAAATTTGGGAGTGCATTTAGCTACTGTGAAACGACGACAGGTAAAGACAAGCGTAAAATTGGGAGCTAGCCTCCGAAAAGATCAAGAGAGACATTGTATTTGCCGCCAGCCTCTACACGCAGTAGGGTTCCAGGTGTGAGGCCCGTAGCCAGGAGTTTGGTTGGGAGGGTTCTTCCTACTGTCCGAGGGACCAGCGAGCACTGCAGCTTCCTAAGGGGCTCGGGGTAATTCATCCTCGGATGCTCCCCAGGAAAATTTTGAAAATTGAACCTTCTGAAATGGCATTCCTGTTTTTTTTTTGAGAGGATTCCAATGGAAAAGACAAATCAGTCCATCTTTTAAAGAAAAATCTTGGACCTTTGGAAAAAAGTGGACCTTTTGAAAGCAGTAGAGGGGTCCAAAGAGTAAAGAGACTCTTATTTTTTCCATAACCTAGTGTTTTATTCACAGCCAACGTTTCGGTGACCGTCTGTTACCTTCCTCAGGGCACCTACCTTCCTCTGACTGGTCCACATTGCACTGCAGCACAGACTGTGAATAAAACACTTGGTTGTGTAAAAAAGCCTCTTTACTCAGTGACTTACCAACATGATGAAACTATTCACGGGAGTAGGGTTCACAAGTGTTCCGCTGTGGCATTGCATGGTTGGATGGCTAGCAGATATGAGACCAAAAGGTTGTGAGTTCGATTCCTGGCATTCCTGGTAAGATGTGTCCATGGAGAAGGCACTTTAAACAACTTTCCTCAGTCCGCTCTGATGTAAAATGGGTACCTGACTTCGGTTGGGGAGGTAAAAGGCAGTGGAAGGATAGGGATGGGCTTAGCTTCTGATACCGTGCCCTAGATACAGATAACTAACCCACTGCCTAGAATTCAGGATGTTAAAAGGATTGGGACATTTGAATGGGACGAAAGTTGCAACACACAAATCCACACTACATTGGGTCTTTATTCTAAAACACACGCCAACACCAGCAGAAATGTACAATGATGCCAATAATAATGCCACATCACGCATGTATCTGCCCTTCGGTGCATATAAAGGTATATATGTATTGTACTTTCCAAAATTGCACACATTGCAACACTTAATTAAAAAATCATCAACACATAATACAAAAATTGTACATCAACACTTAATTCGAAAATTGCACATAAACGCTTCATTAGAAAATTGCACAATAACCCTTAAGATAAATAATAAAATTGCACACCATTGCTTAAAATTGCACAACTACACTCGAGATAAACATTAAATAAACGGACACAATATTATCACGTTGCAATGGTATACAGATTGGAAATATTAGCCATAATATTTACGGGTGTTGGAAATGAAAATTGGAATGATTTTAATTACACCACAATTGTACACAGCATAAAATATGGGGAAGGCACAAATGATAAAATGTAAGAGACTTGTCTACACATGGAAACACACATGTATGGAGTGGTCTTGTCATGATGACCACTGCTGCTGTTCCATTTTAGCAGCATAGAGAAACATTTATATTGTTGCTCGTTCTTGTACAGAATAAAAATGTTCCTTAACAGTCTATTCACCACACTTTGAATCTGTGACAAGTTGTGAGCCTTCAGTGTTGTTCTTCGTTCTGCTTTCACGCTGAAATTCCTCTCCAGGTAGAGGTTTTGGCAGAAGTTAAATTTTGACACCTTTTTAGGTGTTTTTATTAGGCATTCTTTTTTGTAGCGGAATCTTTCACCAAAAGGCGGCCTGTTGGATACTGCGCTGCCAATTTGATACTGTCTTGCCAAGTTAATGCTGTTTATAGGCACCAAAAGAACTGCTTGGAAATAACATTGAAATCACCGTGGCGTTTTTGTTCGTTGTTTTCTACTTGTTCTAATAGTAATACGTCTAATGGCCTTCTCAAAATCAAAGCCAGGTATCTCAACTTGTTTTCTACTTGTTCTAATAGTAATCTCAACTTGTTTCACGTAGTGAGAAATCCCAGTAACCCGATAGTCGGTCTGCTCAAAGCGAAAATTCCCCCTTCCTTCGGAAAGAAAAAAAGAAAACCCCCCAGTGCATTTCTTTTCCATAGTGTTTATATTGTCGATAAAGTTGGCAAAGCATGTCATATTCAGTCCGGCGTGATTCAGGGAACAGTCCACATACTTCAGCATTTCCTGTAGCCAGTTCCAGACCCACAGGGTTGGGGGAAAGTTGGTTGCAAGAGTTACCAAAGCTGCCAAGTTATAACTTTTGCTTTTACTAAATGTACAGACTCTGTAAACAAAAGGATTTCCAGTCTTGTATCCTAAAGGTACTGGAAGATCGACAATGGTAAAATTGAAATGTTCTGACAGAGCCTGAAATTCACTCCTTAGAATTTCTGTGTTAGTTCGCAACTTTTTAGCTGCCATAATGGCCGTGCTTAAGTTGTGTCTTATCTCCCCTAATTGTTCTATACTAGTTCGCAACTTATTAGCTACTATATCGGCCATGCGTAAGTTGTGTCTTATCTCCCCTATTATTTCTATACTAGTGCGCAGCTTATTGGCTGCTATAAGGGCCATGCTTAAACCGTGCCATATCTCCCGTAATATTTCTATATCTGATGTGAAAAAACTCGTAGGTAGATATGAAAAGATTGGCATACTAAGGAATGTGTAAAAATGATCTAAAATTCTTCTTGCAGTTTTTTTTATCTGAGAAGCGCCATTGTGATTTGAAGTGTCTAGCCAGCTTATAAGTTTCTTGCCTTCAAAAATTGTGGCTTCTAACAATTTGACTGCTGCCAACCTTGTCCTTGTCCAGCGGTTGAGTTTGGTAATTATGTTTGTAAGAAATCTTTGCTTATTATGTAAGGTGTAGCAAATAGCCACTGTTTGTCTGATTGTCCCGAGGTACTCATGACGCCATTTCCACACGCTACCCTGATACGCGCGGTTCCTGTCTAGTAAAATGACAGCATCTAATAAAGCTGAGCATTTGTGTATGAAGGGCGGAGATTGCCTATGGTTGGACCTTTCAGTTGTGGTTTGGCCAGCAGCCTTCCTAACAGTGGTAAATAGATAGTCCGAGCTTATGTATTGATGTACTACATATACATGTAGTTTCCAAGGGTATGATGTCATACGGGATAAAAAACCTTCCTTTAAATTCTGTCGTCCACAAATTTTTCCAAACTTTGGATTGTGTGGGTCTATAAGGGACAACACACTCTTCAACACTCCGGGATCCCCTAGCAAGTCATTCCAGCTGTCGCGAGCAAATTCTAGAATATCAAACTCTTTGCTCTCTCTGGGCAGCCCTAGCATCGCTTCATAGTATCTGTTGGTACATGTGGATGTGTCCATGGAGCGGTAGTACATGAAAAGCACCTTACTCACAACTTTTATGAGTTTCTGTATGGTACTTCTGTAACTTTGCAGATGGTATCTTGACTCCTCAATCAGGTCGCAGCAAAGCAATACACTGAATGTATAAGGAAAGTTCTTATTTTGATTCGTGGAAGATAACAAGGTCTTTATGACACAACAAGGCCGTGATTGCACGTGTTCTGTTTCAGGAATGCAGTTCACATGTTCACAATGCATGTCACGATATAATTTTTTCAGGACACAGCGTTCACAAGATTCTATGTCATTTGTTTCATGAACACACTTTAATCCATCACATTCTTCAAACCTCTGCAGTAGTATCTTCAAGTCTATTTTACCAGTAATGTCTTTGGTTAAATAATGGTAACTCAGGCCTAGTAAATTGTCTGTCCCGTTCCAGTATTCTGCTGGGCCTGCCTTTGGAGCTGGACTTGGAATAAAAAGCCTATCCAGATCTTCAAGTGACGTTTTTTTAATGTAAGTAGCAAAATTTTGAAGGAAGGAAATGGGAATATCGGAATAGTCGACGACTGAGTTTCCATCTTGGAGAATTCTCGAGTAAATGGAAAGAAACATGTCTTCCACTGCCGTCAGGACCTCATCCAGATGACATGAATCTGCAGGATTGGGCGAGGGATGCAGGTGTTCCAGCTTATTTGCTTGCAAATACAGGTTGTCGGCTATATCTATCAGTAAAGTGGTGGGTGCATCACTTTTATACAAACAAGGCAGCAGGGTGTTGTTTAGAAAGTACACATGGTCACGAAGGTGACAGGAAAGGTCCTGGATAGATTTATGTCTGGAAAGCAGTAAAATTTGAGCCTGGATGAAAATGTAAGCCTCCTCACACGCACCTCGTCGGCAGAAAAACTCAGCGGACTTATTCAAGAATGTAGATGAACTGGAAATTGATACATTTGTTTGGTATTTCTCGATTTTCACGGCCAGATGGTGCACATGGGACATCAGGATCTCTGCCTGGGCTCCTGATGCGGCATCACTACGCCTTAGTAACAATGTGGAATAGTTTAATGCGTTTTCTAGATGTGCTACTCTCATAGATTCGTTCATCTGTGCCACAACCACCTCCTGAACTATCCTGTTCACACTGAAAGCACATGGGTCAAAGGCACTACAATCGGTGGCCAGGGAGAGTGTCTCTAGTATTGCCACCATTTCCAGCACATCTAGTTTGTCCAGCGGCCCTGAAGTGGGGAACAGTTTACCGAAGCCTGGACTGTCAGGCCGGGGGCATGGGATACAGTCTGGGCCCATAAACGCTGTCATGTTTAAAAGCTTTGCGATGCTGGGTGACAACTGGTCAAGAGTATGAATATGTGGGTCCAATGTTTGCCGTATCCTCTTTTTTGCAACCTTTTGAATATCTGACTTATCGAGCAAGTCTACCCTCCTACTGGATCCAATATATTTGTCATGGTAGTCCTTGACAGAGCAGCCAGTTGCTGCTATAAATGAAAACGCTAACTGCAGTGCCAGAGGGTGGTGTCCCAGGGATCGGCTGAGACGTTTGATCTCCTTCCTATCGGCCTGACTGCTGAGTCTCACGGTAATGTTAAACATGGCCTGAGCCTCAGCTTCACTGAACGGAGGGAGATCGACCACTGAAATCTGCTCGTTATCGAGTCTTTGATATTCGTTAGAGGTCAGCAGAACATGCATGGTTGCCTTGAAGGTGTGAGGCAGTAGGGACTCAAGTTCTTCCATGGTCTCTGGAACTGCCTCATCAACTACCATAAGCCAACCTTGTGAATTTGCTATGTACCGTCTAAGGTACATCTTCGTAGCCTTACAACTCAGATCCTTGTTCAGCTGGAAATAATCGCTGATGTATGAGCTATACTGACTGATACTGGCGCACAGGTCCTGTTTGCTCGCTAACCTGACCCAGAACACCCCGCCAGGGTACCTCTCCGCCCGCCTGTGCCCGTACTCGATGGCTACTGACGTCTTCCCGACGCCGCCCAGCCCCTTGAGGAGACAGGTCTGGTTCTCCTGAAGACAGGTGTCGATCCTGCTGAAGACGTCTTCTCGCCCCACGAATGTCTTCAGACGCCGGGGGAAGATGGCTAGGGTTGGTTCTGTGGCAGAAAGAGGTTTTTACGTTTAGATGACGATATGGACCTCGTACCAACACTACCTTAGTAGATCGTGTTGGTCATTCTGTCCTCCAATTGAGCGCCACACACCACCGTAGGTCAAGGACCTTATGACTTTTAAACAGAAGAAGAAACCGACCTTGACCAGCATGGTCCACTTCTGTGAAGGTAAAAAGAAGATGTATAAAGGAAATCTCACCGTTTATTTTGGAACCGTAATGAACCATAGTGTACAGTCCAACACAGATCGCGAAACACGTCATCAGGATGCCCAAGGATCCCGTTCTGATTCTGGTCCATCTGGTGACATCTGCAAAATATAAGTTGCAATAGAAACACAATTCAGCCCATTTTCCATTCCAAGTCGTCGGCTTATGCACAAATGGAACCAATGAACGTGGTCATTATTTCGCCAATAGGCCAAACGCTTCGAAGAAATAAAGAAATACCATCATAACGTGTTCGAATTCTATGACACACGAGAATCATGTGCACAGTGTATGGCAGTGCGCCTAGCGTACATTGTACAATGGGGCCGTGTTTACCTTGACACGGCGTTCTTGTTCAACCGCCTGTACATTACTCTTATCTAATGAGGTGTGACAAACACACGTATGTCTGCACGCGAATTGGCCTTACATAGCAGGGAATAAACATACAAGCCACCAAATGAAAAGAGTCTTCTAGATAAAAAAATAGATATGCCTGCTGTGGATGAGAACACAGTATAAACAACATATTTATTTATTAATTAGCGACATCCTGTAGTTGGTTACTGTACTGTTAAGTGCTATAGGTGTACTCTATCCAGCGCAAATGTACCTAGTTTATTTTTATCACGCAGGTACCTTCCGGACGCCATCCAAGATCTCTCCTCCTTATCTCCCCCCTTTCCACTGCCGCCTTAAGACGCTCCCTCTTCTCCAGGAGTTGCGTCACCAGGTGATGGTACGGGACTTCCCTCAGACCTTGGACAAAGTCATCGAAACCGTCGGTGGGCAAATCTGTATCGTGGCGACAAAAGATCAGTAAAAATGTGTGATGGGACGTTGCCATATCTAGCCATAGAAGTGTCCATGAGGTACATAACAGTTATAATACCACGTGCACAATGTCGCCCTTTTAGTACAAGCTGCGTAGTTATTTAATGGGTGTTACAGAATTATTGTTAGGGGAGGGACTTTTAGGGCCGTCCTCAAAACAAACTGATTCTGATAACCCTTACAGCATTTTCAGTTCGTTCTGCATGACCATGGGTCTTAAAAACGACCCACCAACATTTCGGCAGCATACCATCAGCCTATTTGATACTGCGGCTCATTCTACATTTCCCAAACGTACCACAACTCTGTAAACCTACTAATGAGTTTGTCCAGCAGCGCCCTCGCCCCGGCGTGAGGGCCCTCGGTCCTCGCCTTGGCCCTGATGAACCCTCGGTCTCCGTCCCGCCAGGCCACAGTGCTGTACCGCAGGACTAGCACAGGGTCCATGTCCCGGGCGATGTCGTCAGAGCAGTCCAGAACGGCCTGGCGGTGGAGCGCGTCCATGGCGGTAGGTGCAAGCTTCTACCTGGTTTCACACGACCTTTTTAGCACGCACGGAAGTACGTCACGAAGTAACTCATCTGTGCTACGTACACCTCCCTGTCTTTCTGGGATGTTCTGACGATGAATCAGAATTTAGTCCGTGTGTATTCAGAGCGGTGCCTGGGTGATTGATACGTTCTTGGATACGCGGAGACTATCCAGAATCGTGCCTGTCCCTAGCCATAACGCATTCAGGTATAGAAGATAATTGTAAGCACGGTTCTGGATACAATAGGCCTGTTCGCACTAGACAGGGTCATGAACCCGGAAGTTACCTGGGGGGAAGTCGCCAAGTTTCGGTGCCGCCATCTTTACCACCTGTTAGACCGCGGCCCAGTTTCGAACGAACGCGCAGTATTTTTCGCGGCACTTCCCCGTCAAGAAGTCACCAAAAAGACGTCCTTTAGACCTATTAGATAGTTAACGTAACGCTGCACAGTGCGAATTTGAGTTGTAGACCGTATTCCTAGACGAAAAGACTGCAAGAGGACGGTTCGAAACTGGGCAAGTTGTTCGGCGCTGAGAGAAACACCCCACCATGGAGGCACTGGAGTCAGAGCTGACCTGCCCGATGTGCCTGGACCTGTTCGAGTCGCCTCTGCAGCTGCCCTGTCTGCACAACCTGTGCAGGAAGTGCGTCCGAGACCTGGATTCCTACTCCAAGAAGGCAGACGGGGCGGCGGGTACGGCACGGGGAGGCGCGGTGGCGAGGAAGAGAGGACCCCCCGCGGGGCAGCAGAAGGATGAGCCCAAACTCACCTGCCCTACCTGCAGGCGGGAGGTGCCACTGGACGAGAGGGGTGAGCTCCAAAATATATCAGTACAGTTTATTTGTTTGTCGGGAATCGTGTTTTACATTACTATTGCTCGGGCACAGTTCTGGATAATCCAGAACCGTGCCTGTGACAAATCTACGTTCTTGGATACGCGGAGACTATCCAGAACCGAGCCTGATCCTACACCTAACCTATTTAGACATAGAGGTCTAGATAGACACTTTCTGGGTACAATGAGGAGTGCAATCTGGGACAATAAAGACTATCCAGAGCCGTTTCCGAATGACAGTGATCCCTAAACTAATTTATTCAGGCATAGAAATAGCTAGGCACGGTTCTGGATACGATTGATCCAACTGTTAAGTGTATGCAGCACATTCTACAGTATATTTAGGTCACCGCAGCAGACTGTAACGTGTTGTTTGCTGGTGTTATGTCTGCAGGAGTTGACGGCCTGAGCAGGAACATGGTTCTGCAGAACATCGTGGACAGGTTCAGGGACGCCAGGGACAAGGAGAAACCCGACACCGCACCGCCATGTCAGGTAGAGTTAGGGTTACCTGAGTGGAGGTCAAAGCGTAAAACAAATAAGTACATGGTGTAGAAGAGGTATTTTCATGGTCTTTATCTATCTATCTATCTATCTATCTATCTATCTATCTATCTATCTATCTATCTATCTATCTATCTATCTATCTATCTACACGTATCTCTCTCTCTCTCTCTCTCTCTCTCTCTCTCTCTCTATATATATATATATATATATATATATATATATATATATATATATACTTATACGTATGTGTTCTTTCTGCATGTTGTTTCATAGCAGAAAGAACATGTACGTACGTGCAGAGGTGCACTACTTCATAGTCAGTAGTTCTATCCAACATTCTGCAAGATATAGTACCCATACATTGCACCTGTTAATAGTTGTGCAATAAACCTTGAGTTGACTAGTAACATATGTGAGAGATTCTTTATTGACACAACAAAAAGTACAGGGACTTTTGTATGGTCTTCTAAAACTAAAGATCTAACAAAGCTTAATATATGTGTGGAAAACGTCATCTTACGTACAGAGTATATGTATGATGTAACAATAAAGGTTTAACTATTCTCATATATATATATGTTATGGTTTGTGTCCTATAGCTGTGTGAAGGCGACCCCCGGCCGGCTGTGAAGGTGTGTGTGAACTGTGACGGTCTGGCGTACTGTGAGGACTGCCTGCTGACCTTTCACCCCGCCCGCGGACCCCTAGCCAGGCACACGCTGGTCGCTCCCGGGCAGCAGCCCAGCAAGGCTGAACCTAAGGTCGTCATGTGCACGGACCATGCGGACGAGAAGGTAGAAATCAACGCCATGCTTTTATTCATTAATTCATCAATTAATTTCTGTGTTCTTTGACCCTGAGGGTACCAGGCTATCACTGCCCAGTGAAGTTAATTTTTCTGTGAAAGAAAACCCATATAGTTGGTCCATGGGTCCCAGACATCATCATTTAGTTAGTGTTAATCTTTATCACATTGTCGTAAGTCTGTCTGTCTACTAGCATCTATCTGTTCATTCGTTCATCCATCTACCTATCTCCAGCTTTTATCTAACAAGTATTTATCACTATATATTCTCTAGAGAGAAAGGGAGAGGTGTAGAACCTGATGGATAGTATCATGATAGTTATACATAAACCTGAGATTCTGCCCCATTGCCCCGTCCCCAGGTGAATCTGTACTGTAAGGTGGAAGAGGCTCCGGTGTGCGCGCTCTGTAAGCTGGTGGGGAAACACCAAGGCCATGAGGTAGCCGCGCTGTCGGATGCCTACAAGGAGAAGAAGGTACGTTGACGCTCATATTCTAGTTTATGGACCTTAATTAACTGGCCCATTCGCCATGCCCTAACAACTACATGTAACGTAACGTAGAAGCTTAACCCACGTGCCACACTCGCTAACTTTGTCTCTAGTGCTAACCCTCCAGTAGTAAACCAATCCCTGGGGTGTACGTATGCTCTAGTCGTATAACAGTAGTCGGCTGCCCTAGAGCAGAGTAAAGAAATACACAGCGACTTGATTGACAATGACGGATATCTTACTCTATCAGGATGTTCTGATGGAGGAAGTCTCCGCCTTGAAGAACAGAAACGAGGAAATCAGCCAGTTTGTGGCGGGGATGCGGGAAACCTGCGCCAAAGTTCAGGTAGTCGAAGGCTGTTTCTAGCACACTTTTTTTCACATGATTATTCACATTATAATTATCATTCAGAGATGATGCAAATGCAATAGGGTGTTGTATACTTGTTTTGTCACCATCTTGACAGCTCTAAATTCTGTTTAACACAAGGAAGACCTCGTAAGGGAATGATCTAATTTGGATGATTGTTTAATGTGTACTTCTAGGGTACATCAAAATTGGACATTATTTACTTACTTGTCTTGCAGGAACAGAACAAGACGTGGCAGGTCAAGCTTGTGCAGGGGATCTCACGACTTGAAAAGATCCTCAAGGAGAGGAAGAAGTTCCTTGCGAAGGCAATTTCTGAGGTACGTGCGGAAGGAAATATTCCCTGTCGCCACGAATTGAGAAGTTAGTCAGTGTCCATGGACATAGTTTGCCCTCAAAATCAACACGTTATCTCTAGTTTAACATGATTTCCCCTGTGCCTTTTGAACATGTACATGTCATGTCACTTTCTCGTTACCTTGTACTCTCGGTTGAAGCATTACTAAAACATAATATACGTCAATAGTTCCGAAGCCGATCTAGAATGCATAATTTAGAGAGGAACTCAAGAAAAGTACTAACTGTCATCGACGTACGGTGTAAACAGAGCATTTGTCTCCTTGTCTCTACAAGGAAGAAGAGGAGAAGCTGAAGCTGTTGCGAGAGGAGATATCTAAGAAGGAGGAGCATCTCCAGAAGTCTCAGGCAGTCGTGGCGTACGTGGAGGAAGTTCTGAAGGAGAAAGACCAGTCCTGCTTTCTTCAGGTTAGAGACAGTTGTTCTCCTTTTACCTTTGTCACACAGTCGACCAGCTTCTGTGCCATTCAGGCACAGAACTAAATAGAACTAGATAGCCGTGCCTGGTCCTAACCCTAACCCATTCAGGCATAGAAATAGACAGGCATGGTTCTGGGTACAATAGGGTCTTTCATAGGGTCTTTCATTGTTTTCATACGTCTATTCACACGTGCTAAATGTCATTTTCTCTTTTTACTTTCAGGCAGTGAAATCTACCCGAGAGAGGTGAGACATTTATGTTACTGTCACACGCGAATAGGTTGATTTTCCCCCCTATACATATAACTGTTATTTTTTTCTCTCGTTTTAAAAATGTCTTAGCCTGTTGTTCAACGCAATCTCGGTATCTGTATATAGCCGGTGTATCACACCAGCTTCACAAGCACGCGGCGTAGTAGTAGTCTGTTTCTTTCCTTTACGACCATGCAGTTCTTGCATTTAAACGTAAGAAAAAACTTTCTTACGTTTGTTTTCTCATGTGAAGTTGACATTCTGACATTCTCGTTTTCGCAGAGTTGAGAAGAGTCATGACAAAGACTCCCTGGCCGTTCCTGTCGGCTGGATGTTCAAAGGCTTCGACTTCAGCAGGGAGGTAGAGGCCTTAAAGGCCATGGATCTGACTGGTGAATACATTTTTCTAACTGAAACTTACCGTAGCCGATATGGACAATTCTGCTCAACACACCGCCTTTTGTCTTCCGTACACTGACTTTTGTCGTCCCAACACTGACTTCCGGGAAGACTTAAGTCAGTGTTGGGAAGACAAAAGTCAGTGTACGGAAGGCAAAAGGCAGTGTGTTGAGCAGAATTGTCCCTATCGAAACGACTTAAGTTGAAAACTGGTATCTGGAGTGGCAAATCCAGGTCTGTTACGTACATGCTGTGTTGTACAGTCTACAACTTGGCCTTTTGGTAAGCCTTTGTAATACGCTATATTTTCCTTCTGACATATCACTTATGTGTCGGGTTAGAGATAGGAAGTGTTGTCTTGTCATCCTACGCAGTTCGTGCAAAATGAAACAAAGATTCCAAACGTTTATAGAGATTTAGGTAAACAATGGCATTTCATTGCACTTGGGCGCGTTTTGATGCATGCCCTTAAACGCGATGCAACATCTATTCCAGAACTTACCACATCTTGGCACGAATGTGTGCAACAGGTGTGGGCTTCATCTGAATTCGTGGAGTTCAAACAGCAGTACAACCAATATAATTATCGACAAGAACGAGTACCTGTGTATTACAACACCGACAACCTGATCGACAACCGGGCCAACACGTACTGGCACAGCAACAGCGGTCAGGCGCAGGTAAGACAAATGCCAATGATATCCCCTTTTTAAGCCGATTTCTACTGATTCATTTAGCCTGCAAAGGAGTCTGGTGGAGACTAAACAATCGTAACCACAACACCACCTTGGGTCGGTCTGTTTCAGCACTGGTTGCGACTGCAGCTGCAGCCTGGGGTCCAGGCTAGGACCCTCAAGCTCTCCCTCGTCCCAAAGCCACCTGGCAAGTGGACGGAGAACCACAGGCCGGAGAAAGTCACCCTCCTGGCCGGGAACGACTTTAACAACATGGCCGCTCTGGAGACCGTTCACGTCGGCAAGGAACAGTCGGAAATCACCCTCAACGTGGATACAGAAAAGGTGAAGACCACTTCTCTTCTAGACAATGCGGTCGCTCTTTGTTTTATAATTTTCTTGTACCTGCTCCACCCTTCTGTAGAAAGGAATGCTGTGGATACTAGTCTGTCAACTTGCAGGTAATTAAACTGGCTATTAGTAATGACTTTAGGGTTAACAGAATTATTCGGACACCACCAACGAGTTAATACCTAGCCCGCGCTTTGGGGACTGTCTGTCGGATTCCTCAGGGCAATACTAACTGCTTCGCACTGCAGCTACACATGTAGGTATCACTGCTACCGTGTAATAAATTCAGTCCCAAAACTGACTGCATTGCACTCACTCATGCTTAGGTAGATTGTTGACTAATATTGGTCCACGGTTCTAGACTGAAAGGTTCATTAACCGAAAATGTTTGTTTCTCATCCAGTCGTTTCTGCAGCTGACGTTTGAAATGAAGACTCCGTCAGAATGTATCGTCAGTCAACTCAGCATCGTCGCCTCCAAGCCCAAGCCGAAGGAAGGCTAGAAATTCTACTAGCACAGCTAAGTGTGTAAAGAACTGGTCAGGCAAGATCAGGGGAAGAAATGTAATGAAACATGATGGAGAAATTTTGGTGATGAGCTACACTGTATCAGTGTCTTCTTTGAGGACACATATTGTGCATTTTGTCTTGTCGTGTTTCTTAAAAGTTTTGAATCTGACCATAAGCTTCTGCGGCGGCTGCCAGATGTATGAAGTCAGGACCAGAATCAAAAGTAGATATAATCTGGCACGATTGCCATCGGGATGTAGAATGTACAAGCAGATCATTATAAGCTAATATACGTCAACGAGTGACTGTATATTTTATGTTACACAATGTCTGTTGTGTGTAGACAGGGTGATTTGACTCAAGCCTTGGGCTGTGTTACTGACTTTGTTGACAATGCCTGCCTACCAGTACTAGTAGATATTAGAGTGCTGTGTGTTATTATGTTATGATGTGTTTGAAAAGCTACCGGGAATTATAAATATATCTTATATTTTGCAGGAATTTGGCATGGCATTGTGAAATAACGAATATACTCAGAAGTAATCCATGTATTAATTGTCGTTCATACTTTTCTGTAATGACTTCCTGAATGGTATCACAGGAATAAGGTTAACATCGTTGGATGTACAATGTGTCTCTTGGACAACGGTACACATGGAAATAAACAGGCTACCAACTATGAGGCCAATAAATGGCAGAGTAGCATACAATAGTGCCAATTGTAATTCTGCCTGTGCGTTGTATCGTAATAAGTAATAATAAAGATAAAGATAATAAAAGCAATGAAAAAAATTGATATTCTATTGGCACAGCGTCTTCTTCTACAACAGAATCACCATTCATAAACTTACTATCGTCCAAGTATTCAGGAAAACTTAAATCTGAATGTTGCCCTCATTTTCATCAAGTAAACGATATGATTCTGCCACCAGAAGTATGGAAACAATTGTGACTACCATTGTACAACACTGCTTCATTCCATTCAGTATTTCTACTGTACAATAAACTTGTATATTGACATTTGCTATAATTTCCGGTCTTAAGTTTTACTAGTTAGTTTGACTGCGGATGGTCAGAGAGCCGCTGTACAGTAGTGGTGAGTCCAGCCTGTCGCTTATGCACGGCCTGAAAAAAATCAATGAGAATTATCAGGGAAGAGCTGTGGACTCGTGTAATTAAAAAAAATTAACGGCTCTTGGTCGCAAATGTGCTGATGTCGACACATTGGCGCACCAAATCCGTAGGGTGTTTTGGCACCCAGTTAGACAATTAGCCTAAGAGGCTCGGTGGGCGTCACTCCACCGTACATGGTGGGGAAGTCGTGTAAAGTGCCTTTCCCAAGGGCACAACGTCGGGCCTCGGTGAGTATCGAACCCGGGACCTTTTAAGTGTAATTAAGTGTAATTAACACATGGTTTGTGACAGGAGCAATGATGGTCTGCCGCCTCATTCTGGCGGGTATTTAATTAAGCTGTGCCATGTTGACTAAGCTATGAGAGAGAAAGTAATTAAGTGTGCCATGTTTACGATAGATTAAAGGGTTACAGGGAATAGTAACGATACAACAAGTACCTGGAGCAACTTGGCACATGAAGTAAAGCTGAAAGTGGCATGGCGCGTCGTTCCATTTGTCTTTCTTGCCTGCGGAGTAATTGACGCAATCTTCGTCATCATCATGCCATTCGTCGTTCGGTTCTCCCCGACCCCAGGAGCTGTACGACCCAAGTGCAGAACCGTCCACCCACTCAAACTTTCCCTCTTCGCGCTGATCGTGCAGGCCGATCCAGAAGTCCTTATAGTCGGTCACGGAGTTTTTCAGGAAGATGAGGAAGGCGTTGGTGTCAGCGTCTCGGGGCATGGCGAGGGTGCCACCGTCTTGACGACAGGCCGCGGCCGCTTCGCGGAAGGTCTTGCGCGTGTTGAAGGCCTTGTAGCCGATTCCACGCCAGATTGTGTAACCTTCAGGACACGTACAAGATGCTGAAAAACAGGTTTTGTATCAGCAACAGGCAACGGATTGGCCATATGGAAAATCATGACATACATGCAATATATGCTTCATCAGTAATTAATATACCCTGGGCTGTATCTAATAACAAATACTCAATATGATACAGTTAAACGCTGTGGTCTAAAGGCGCTTATGTTATGATTATTTCATTTATGTTAATATTTAGTATTTATGTTTATACTTTATCCTTATGCATAATAACTTAATGATTTGACTTTTCATTATGTTTTTGATTGTCTTACTTTAAATTAGTAGTTAGTTAGTTAGTACGTCGTGTTAACTTTATATTATTTTGTATCTATGTTGATTTATTTTTGTTTATCCTGTGTTCACAATACCTGTGTGTAAAAGTAATTTAAAAAAAGGGAAGCCCCCCCCCCCTCCGATAGACCCTTAGGTTTCATGGGGCTACCCTGCATATTTTCTTGTAAATAATTTATTATATGTGTGTTCTTTTAAGTGCAAACAAACATAACAACTGAAAACGAATTTATAACTAAGTAAAGTCTTCTCAATCTTGTTAAGGCGCTGCTCCAAGGCAGCGGTTCGGCTTCGCTCGTTGTCCAGGTCGCGCTTCAAGGCGTCAACAGTGGTGGTAATGCCGTCCTGGTCGCGCTTCAAGGCGTCAACAGTGGTGGTAATGCCGTCCTGGTCGCGCTTCAAGGCGTCAACAGTGGTGGTAATGCCGTCCTGGTCGCGCTTCAAGGCGTCAACAGTGGTGGTAATGCCGTCTTGGTCGCGCTTCAAGGCGTCAACAGTGGTGGACAATTGAGATATTTCCTACAATGTATATACGTACGTCAGAATACAAAACGTAAACAACAGGCATACGAAATACAGTAGCATCTTTTTTACCGTCTTATAAGGAAAAACAGATCGAGAATCAGAAGAAAAAAACAGCTGGACAACAAGCTTTATGGTACAAGACTGTTACCTGTTTGTTGCTGAACGTCAGAGGGGCGAGTCCCATGGCGCACAGGCTCAGTAGCACGGCGATGCCGGCGGCGAGGAAGCTGCGGCGGGCGAGGAGGAAGCTACAGACACCCCGGCGGCCGCTCGCTCCACCCGGATACGCGCCGTCTGATAGGAAAAACATACTTCGCTCGGGTTATTGTTAACGAAATCAACCTGTTAATAAATGAATATACAAGTTAAATGGTGCATCAACAAAACGAGACCTGGCATCATTAATTATGCAAACAACCTCCTCATTTCCATAATGTGTGCACGGTGATGCTCTGTACCTTACACATGTATGAAAATTCACAAAATGTATCACCAAGAAACACTAGCATTTTCGTATTTATTGTGCAAATTAATCGATTGCCTGCAGAATTGGCGTCTGTTACTGTTCCACCTGCCATACATTATGTATGCTACATGTAGTAATGTACGTGCATTTAATATGTAAAATGATGGAATTAAAGAGTTTGCTCAATGCTTATGCAAGTCAAATCCTCATTTTCATAATATTTATATCTCTCAAACCTAACTACATGATATCAGAATTTTACCACCCAACAAAGGTGTGATTTCCTCCGAACCGAATGCTCACCGGTGCGAGAACGTTCGCGTACCCTGCTGATGAATTTTACATGAGGAATACAATTAAGGGTTAATGTCCCGCCCCGAGGTGAATATGGTGTGATAAAGCCTTGTCAGTTGCTATAACCACCGAATAAAGACACCAAGTGAGCGCAGCGAACGAGGTGGCTTTATGAGGTGGTTATAGCAACTGACAAGGCTTTACCACACCATATTCACCGAGAAAGGGCGGGCCATTAACGCTATTATCATATAGCTTACACGATAGCCTATCCAAACTGATGCAGTGAAGAGTGACACAATGTACTTGCACATGCTGAATAGAACATAGAATATTTGTTCCATCTGGAGTCACCTGAGGTCACTGGGGGGGTTCATGTTCTATGGCCTTCTATCTGGGTCACAGGCAGGGAACAGGTGTTCTTATGGGAGTCATTGGAACACAACTCAAGTTATTTTTGGATTTTTTAGAAGTAGAGCCGTGTTCTATTGGGTCACCTGAGGTCATATGCGGGTGATTATTCATTTTGTTTAATGTATGGATTGGGATGAATAAATACCCGATTTTGACTCTATTTGTGACATTACGGCGACATAAAGAATGTGGAATGGAGCCTTCTGATTGGTCAACGTCACCCGGCTATATGATAATATGCAGTAAAGACTGGAGTGATTATATATTAACCTTTATCATAATTACCACTGTATTCTTAATACTTATTATCATTATTAGTATCTTCAAAATTTTAACTCCTATTACCATTATTTGATGATCGTTTCTGGTTGAATAATTTGTTCTCTGTATGTTTTTTTCTTAAGAAATCAATAATTTAATAAAAAATTAAAAAATGACTGGAGTGATTTCTTGTTTTGAACGCCCTTGTTGTCTATACAGCAAAGTATGCAATAAAAGTCTGCAGAAAAATTTGTTCTGATTGTACAAATATTCACTGTAAAATGCAGGTGTGAAAAGCGCCGGTTACCTGCAGACGTTGCGTAACGTTTCGCCTCCTCAGCGTTTTCGTACGTGTGTGAAGACGTGTCCTGGTCTTCCCGCTGCTTGTCAGAAGCGCCGTTGCCATGGCGGACACGCCCGCGTGAACCGCTCTGACGGACGGGACGGGGTTGGGGTGGCGGCTCGCTGGGTTGGGGGCTGTCGGGGCCGGAGAAAGGCAACCGGACAGGCTCTGCCTGCTCGTACATTTCGACTGTGCAGACTGTATTGTTGCGCAGTGTATAACTGAACAAATCATGAATAATAGCTTTAATTAGTCTGACAGAGTAAGGCTACATTTACTCTTATTTGGAAGAATGACGTGGCATCAGGTGATGCAATAGCATTTTGTTTTTATGCAAGAGCCAGACTTATTTTCGTGGAAAAAGAGGTAATCTGTGCTGGTAAGCAGGACATCAAACAAATCTATTTACATATGTGAGAACTCGAAATGTCATCTCGTGATTAGTAGAGACGCCCACTGAAACCCCCCTCCCACTTCTTTGGTTGTCAACAAAATAGCTATTTAGTATTCGATATATATTATCTGATGCTATTTATCGATATTTGATTGTATTTACGTTGTGTTCATAAAATCCAATTGTCAGCTAGCAGCTGCCTAGAGCCAGCTTTGTATTGTCCTGCTGCAATCACGAAAAGAAACACAAAATAGTAGAAATTGGCGAGATTGGGTGAATACAGCGGCAGCAATACTCTTACTTTCTTCTCCCTTTCCCCTTAAAAATATCATTCTTCAGTGGAACATAAGTTTTACAGGTTAGATGTCTCCTTTTTACTTCTATCTGTTCCTTACTTTCACCCCAGGTGATATTCTAGCTCTTACAACGCACAAAGGTTGACAGTAATAATTATTGTTCTGGCGAAGGTTTCTTGTTTGATGTTTATTCAGTCGCCGCCGCTAGCAGACACGTCGTAAGCACTGTGAACACAGCACCGTATGATGTAGGGTCAACACATTACATGTAACAGTTGTGAGGAGGACTTCTTTCTGTGTTATTTTCGTCACACCTGAATGTAAATGTACGTAACAGCATCGAAAAGATATGATATGGCTCGTATCACGTTGTTATGTGTTCTTTTATACTATGGCATAGTCTATGCCATGACTTTCTACATATTACTAACTAAAGGCGTTTAACATCACGAAATGACATTGTACTTCTAGGACAATTTGTGAAGCTACACAGATATTACGGCAATAGGTTACAAACGTTTACACAACTCTGTCTGAAATGCCTAAAACATTTGTTTCAACAAAGCACTATATTAACTAGATGACGTAGACCGCTTTCATTGCTGCTTTTAGTCCAGCTCTACGTTCATGCCAACAATACATATCATGTATTCTTATAATATACCCTTAAAATTTAAAAATGAAGGAATGAAAATAAAGGTATTGAATGTACGGATGTACATTTTCTGTAATCATAAAGAAAATGCCTATATAACAAGCTTGGACACCCCATATAATTATACTACCTCCAGTTTATTCGACCCCCCCCTCCCGGTACACCCCCTCAGTCAGCCCCCCTGCGGTACCCCCCTGCCCGTTTGGACGGCGTGCCCAGCTCCATGTTGAAGCGGTTTTGCACGATGTGCACGGAGCTCAAGTCCTGGTGGGACAGGTTCAGCTGTACCGGGGTGCTGGACGGGCGCAGCACAAACTCTTCTGTGCGCAGAGAAAAAAACAAAAACAACAACAGATAAATTAGAAAGGTAACATTGGCAAAGTAAATGTATAATAGTTACCTTGATATGGTCTAGTCGAACAAACTACTGCTTTGTCTATTCTTACTAAAACGCATTCTTATATATGGCGACCTGCCCCTCCCACTCTGTCCTGCAACTTGCTACATAATGTAATCCAACACCACAGAGTGTCTGCTACAGCACCAGTTGCCATGGCGGCAGACTTTTAGTCCATGTCATTGAACTCATTAGTTTGAAAGAGAAGAAGAGGAAACAGAGCAAAGCAATGTATTTTCCTTCTGCGAAGGCATTAATCATTATTCAAGACTATAACAAACGGATAAAACATATTTCTGGGCAGCTTACTTTCAGGCGGAGTTCCGGCGGGCCTCAGTACGTTGGACAAACTGCTCTGTCGCGCCAGCACGTCTGCAGTAAGCAAGAAATTGCACATCTGTGGATTGTGAACTAATCCTAACAAGGCTGGACTTCAGGCTACACCTAAACACCAGTGGGTACTCTTTCAGTGCCACTGTCACTACAGACCACACGTTTCTGAGCGTCCTTAATTCGGAGTATCGTGTGTGCGTTTAATATTTGGCGACCCTTCCCACTTGAAACTCGATCCAGATCATATAATCATGTAGACCACCAGAGTATTGTATGTGCACGGGGGAAGCACCGAACTGAAACTCAATATTCTAGTAAATTATAATCTTTATAATTTTTCCAGCCACTTGGGGAGTCTGGTAGACGCTATTTTTCCTCCCTACCTTGTCCGGTGGCGATGGGCATGTCGAAGCTGCTGTCATGCCCCCTCAGCGCGGCAGGGGGCGCTCTCCCCAGCTGCCCGTCGAAGCTTGAGGGCGTGATGGTCCGTCTGTGGGGGTCAGGAGGGCGTGAGTCACTGATTTTGTCAGTTTCTACCAGACTCTCCTACAGGCTAATCTCCAAGCACATCTTTTGGTGGGGGTAAGACAGTATGAAATTGCCCAACCTGTGTCCATTTGCCGACCAATGGGCCAATGGATACAGGCTGACCAATTTGATACAATTTCTGTCTTACCCCCACCGAAAGATCTGCTTGGAGATTACTACAGGCTGCTGTGAAATAGACTGAACGATGTGCAAGAGGAGATAGCCACAATTGCGACCCACAGGTCTCTGACTGTCTATGACTGTCTCCTCTGGTATATCACCCAGTCTATTGGGCCATTTTGTGCTATTTTTCAGCACCTATATTGGAGTCTAGCAGAGACTATGGATACTCAACGTACTTCCTTTTTGGGACAACCCTATCCCCGAGCGTATGTTGGGGTGGAGGAACGTTTTTGAAGGCTTGGCTTCTCAGTCAACGAGTGCTCCATTCCAAAAAGTATTACGCCATCTTATACCCCAACATCTGCTTGGAGAATAGTTAGCTAGCCAGAGAGAATTCATTAAAGTTAGCGACCGAGTAAAATCAGATCAGAAACGTTGTACAAACTCTTTTTGTGTTTTACTGCGACCTAAAAATGTTGGCAAAATCACGACGAAGCTCTAATGTACATAATACACAATACATAATATTTCCTTCAGATGCCATAAAATCACGTAGCATGAATATTCTAGATGTGTCTGAATTACTTATAATACCAACATGGAGTGAAACATTCACAGTTAAACTGATGTTACAGTTATACGTTAGAGAAGAGCGCCTTTGTCTGTTGCCGCTTTTTCTGGCAGACAGACATCAGTCGCCAATCGACAGGCAGGCAGCCCGTAACTTAAAATACGGGGCATTGCTGAAGCGTGATGTTATGTACTTACCTCCTGAGTGCGTCGTACATGGACTGTGAAAACAAAGCAGAACAACAGAGGTGAGTAACGCTTATATACGCACGTCCTGTATCTCACGCTATAGAACGTACAGAACAGCAAAACTACCGTTTGCGGTAACGTTTTACGCACGTCCTGTATCTCACGCTATAGAACGTACGAGAGAACAGCAGAACAATGGTGAACCGGACAGGAAAAACGCACAGGTGACGCGTCAGGTACGAGCGTGTAATCTTCAAGCAGTGGTTACAAAACTGTGGCAAAACAGTGTCAAATTGGCAGTAGCAAATACGCTGCAGTTTAGTTGGCTAGAAAGAAAAACCGGTAAAAAAAGGGAAACTGAAAAAAAGACTAACTAAGAAGGCGTCAAAAACAAGCCTAGACCTAAAATCTCTTTTAGAGTAATGCTTAATTGTGAAATGGGAAGTTTTTGTTGGGAAGCGGTTTGCGGGCGGTTCTGCGGCGGTTTGGAATCCGAATCACGCATGTGAAACGGCAGCGGCGCTCCTCTCCACGGATGTCTGAAGCCGCGAGAACAAGGCGGGCAACATTCCGCAGTGGGAGGCCGAGAGGTGAGGCCTAGCCTCTACCAGGCTTCGGGAGGCGGCTGGAAAGAGTAGAAATTGTACTCTCCAAGCAGAGGTTAGGGTTTTGGGTTATTGGGCCTGTTTTTAGCCTTTTTTTATCGGGGTTTCTTTTTTTGCACTGGAATTTTTGTTGGGTTGAGAGAAGCAAAACTTCCAATGCAAAAAAGAAACCGCGATAAGAAAGTCTAAAAATATATAGGGAGTATAGAAATTGCCCAGATAGAGAGATAACATGCCAGGGGAATTGGTCCGCTAGATAGTACATTTTGCCTCACCCGAAACTGTACTCTCAAGCGGACCAACTCCCCTGGCATATTATCTCTTCCTTTCTAGTCTTCCCAGCCGCCTCCCGAAGCCTGTTAGAGGCTAAACATTCCCCAGTGGCAGGCCGAGCGGTGAAGCCGGGCTAATTCAAGGGTCGGCACTTCGTCTGACGTTCTCTGTACCGTGACGTCACGCACTTGTGTCCGTCACTTCACAGGTAAATCCTACACCTGTCGGCTTCCCGCAGACTACTCAGAAGGTAAATATAGAAGTTTTTTCCAGACAGTTGTTACCTGTCTCCTGTTACTGTATTGCAATGAGTATTATACTTGATTGTAAAAGCAATTAGCCTTCGGGCATGATTTTGCGAATAAAGTTTACTGCTAATATATACCTGGATACAACATCTAGCAGTCCCGAAATTTATGTAGACATCAGAAGTTGATAAATAGAAGGGTCTTAAGGCGATTGATCAAGTTCTTAGCACGACAACCGGAAAGGCTTTAACTTAAGAAGATAGCATATTGTCTTAATGCGATCTAGTAGGTCTTAGGACGATTTGTCATTGTCTCGGTTTAAGAATCTGGAAGCATCCTAAGACAAACGTATGACATGTTCTTAGCTCTTAAAGACATTTGACGGGTTCCGTGGGGTCATAAAACGTTCTGGATGGGATGTCTTTCTAGGATCATAATTAAAACAATCTAAAAGAACCTTCCTCTTTTGTCATTCTCAACTGAGGTGAAGCATGATGTTTTGTCAAGCAAGTACGAGGACTAGTCCATTGCGCTATATATCGCGTATTTGTTACGTTAAACTCTCTAAACCTACCAAACCTCTGATAGAAGAGTAATGGTTTAGAATTTTTACTCTGACCTGCAGTTTCTGGTGCTGCCTGTTCCTCTCCATCAGCTTCTCGGACACCTCATTAAACCGCTTCTTGGTGCTCTCCAGCTCTTTGCGGTTAGCTGCGGGGACAGGATACGTGTTGGCAAACAAGCAGGGACCTAGTGATCTATCGAGCAGATCTTTGGAGCAAGGAGCTTTCAATCAGATTGAAACCTTCTTGCTACAGTATCGATTATTGGCATGCAGCTATACAATATCGAACTGACAATTAAGACAGATCGAACTGACAAAGTAGTATGAATTGACAAGACATTATCTAATTTACAAGGCAGTATGAAATTAACAGGACAGTACCGAAAACGCTGCCGTTTGGCTGGCAAAGAAAGGTACAGGAAAAAGTCCAATAAGAATAAAGCAAAATCTAAACCATTGCCTTCCTTCCTAGCATAAAGAATATACAGTCTAGCCATGGAGAAAAAAATGTTGGATTTCTTTTGCCATGATTCAAACAGAATGGATCCGGAGACTAGAAACCGGTGGATTTTAAGGTCACGCTAGGCTCCCACCCGTTCGCTCGTTCGTCTGTGTCGCACAGCCCCTTAACCCTCCCACCTGCCGTACTCACCTGAGATTTGGTTCTTGAGAGCTGAGAAGTACAGAGTTAAGGACATGTTTGATCATACAGGTGTGTTTCACCAAAATAAACACAAGCTACACTAAACAATAAAGAACATCTACAGATACACAGAATCCTCCGCAACGTTAACTCTGTAAATTCGTATTAACATGTGCATGTTAGATCATTTATTCACTGTATGCTACTGGTTTGTAACACTAGCTTGTAATGATTGTTGGCACTCGTACTCGTACTGTTCATGAGTCATTAGCTATAGTCAATCAGATAACCTAAGGTTAATATATTCCTTTGTGTGAATGCTTCTTCTTTTGTCATCTTCAACTGACGTGAAGCGTGATGCTTTCTGAAGTATCTACCAGTGCAGTGCCGCTTCGCTATAACTCGCGTATTTAGCCAAGCAAGCACACTGGGTCAAACCCTACGCTGCTCAAGTGTGTTGGGTTCTTTTACGTGCAGAGGTTTGGCCCCATAAGCTCCCTCAAACGCGGCGTTACCGGTTTTACGTCCCCATCCGAAATAATGATGTGACTCTTTCCCAGCCGTGTCCCGACCAGGACGAGAACCCAAAATGAACAGGATCCTTTAATTTCATTTTTATTTATTTACCCAGGGCCAGCATATCGCCATGATGGCGTTTTTCAAAGCTCCCTGCAGTCTTATCTGCAGGGAGCATCCTGAAATCTTATCTTGGTATGTACTTATTCATCAATCAGCCCGTTATGAATGTTTTATCCCTAGTAATTACTAACTACTATTACTTGAGTCCTTGTTCCCGTGCGGAGCATAGGCCACCGATATAGCCTCTACCAGGCTTCGGGAGGTGGCTGGAATTAGTAGAAATCGGCCAAACAGAGAGATAACATGCCGAGGGAGTTGGTCCGCTCTAGAGTACAGTTTTCCGCTCCCTCTAGAGGGGACCAACTCCCCTGGCATGCTATCTCTCTGTTTGGCCGATTTCTACTCTTTCCAGCCGGCTCCCGAAGCCTGGTAGAGGCTACCAATTTCTACTCTTTCCAGCCGCCGGCTCCCGAAGCCTGGTAGAGGCTACTCCGATGATCCCCAGTAATTACAGCACGGTACGTCCGCTCGGCGTCCCTCGGGACTGGGACACTCCCGCGCCGAGAGGAGCCTAATCAGATCACGGTCCCCCAGCGCACGGGCCCGGCCCGGTTATCTCCGCATTAGCCGGGAAATTATATATTATTATACTCTCCAAGCAGAGGTTTGGGCTTCGGCTTGTTTTTGACGTGTTTTAGACGTTTTCATAGGACATTCGTTTTTGTATCGGTATTTATTTTTTCAGTGGCGTATTGGATACTGTCTTTTCTACGGTCTTGCCAATTTGATACTATCATGCCAATTTGATACTATCATGCCAATTTGATACTATTATACTGTCTTGCAAATTAGTGATACCGTTTTTTCAATATGAAACTTTCATTTCAATATGATACTGTCTTGTAGCCACCAAAAGGCTAATAGCCTGGGTGCCATCCTCCGTAGTTACCGCCGGCGGTAACTAAGGAGGATGCAACTAGGCTAGGAGGATGCCCCCCAGGCTAGGAGGATGGCACCCAGGCTAGGAGGCTGGGACCCAGGCTAGGAGGATGCCCCCCAGGCTAGGAGGATGGCACCCAGGCTACGAGGCTAGCACCCAGGCTAGTAGGATGGCACCCAGGCTACCAGAAGGTCTGCTTGGAGATTAGGTTATCTCTGCATTAGCGGGGAAATTACGCAATTGGCGCGGAACAATCCCGGGTGAAAGTGGTTTGTTTGGGAAAACAGCCCAATCAGTGGGGCTGGAGAGACTGGTGGCAATTTTAGGCAATTATGTATTACGTAACGTTCTTCTTGAATGTCTAACGTTCATCGACGTGAATTTTGGTGTTTTGAGGCACCAAGCAAATGAAGCCGTTACATATCTACACCATATTCAAGCACTACGCTATATATATAACTGCTTTTCGTCATCTGACAAGTGACAACATAACCAAGAACTACAATTACAATCAAATCAGCAAATACGACGTTCGATTCAATTAAAAGAAATCAAATTCCGTACGTGGCAGACGTTTACCAGACGAACTACGCTGGCTAAAAAAATTGAATTCAGCCAAACCGGTAGAATAATTTGCCAGGGGAGTTCGTCCACCACACTTCCATGATTCAAAATGTTTTTTTCCGAATTCTACTATCCTAACCTCTTAGGGAATACATGTGTACAGGACACGTGAGGGACGTGAGCCCAAACCCAACATGCCATCAGCCAGCCCGATATGACTCACAAATGTAACCGTTAGGCGGTCTGATGCAGGGACGTACGGAATGATCACGGCACAATTTACGGAAACATTACACAGGGATAATCGTGAAGGATGGGTATGCTCCAAGCAGATCTTGGGGGGGGGGGCAAAATCCTGACTTGGCCAGGTGATCTGACCGTATGACCACCAAGGTAGTGGTCTGATTTTATCCACAAACATCTGCTTGGAGAATACTAATGAGAAGGGATTTGATAAATGAGGTTAAATCGGGTACCAACGCAAAATAACAAGGAAGGGTAATCGATCATTTACGTTTGGTTTTCGCTGTTGATGATTCGCTTTAATTCACCTTGAACGTTGTCGGGAAATATTTCAGGGGGGGGGGGTACAGATTTCTAACAAATAAAACGACTGCCTCTTTCTGTTTTTATCTATCCGATTTATTTGAATTGTTGATTACGTTATGAAGGGAGGCCTCCTCATAAGCATTTTATGCTTCCGGCCTCCCTGCACTGTTACATTTCATTTATATTTACTTGTATTTGTATATTGTTACATTTTGTTTTAAAGTGCGAAATAAACTGAAACTGTTCAAATTGACGCATTCTCACTCAAGTTTTTTCACGAGATTGTCTATTGGAAAATGGAAACAAAGTTATGATTTCCATAATTATAGAGGTGCGCAGTAATGCAGACGGAATTACGTCTGACGTCTGGCGACACAGAATGCCTCGTGCGCTTTAATGTGGAGTCAGCCATGACATGCTAACGGACAAGGTGCGATATTGGCTGTGGACCTGATGTATCGGGCTGACGGGTTCAACACAGTGGATGCACAGCTAGGCAGGGTCTGAGTTCCCTAGATCTCCAAGCAGAGGCTAGGATTATTTTTGACGTGCTACAGGCATTTTAATCGGGCTTTCTTTTTTCATTTTTGTACCTGTACCTTTTTTTTTCAGCCAAACGGTGTTACCGTGACATGCTGGATACTGTTTTGACCAATTACCAATTTGATACTGTTATGCCAATTGGATACTGTCTTGCAGCCACCATAACATTTGCTTGAAGATTAGGGTGACCCTGACCTGGATACTGTTATGACGGCAAATAAATGTTTGGGGAGGGTATAGCGTTACGTTTCTCTACCTGTCCTTTTCTAAATTTGATAAATGATAATCGACGCTGTATGAAATATGGGTCAGCTTAGACATGGACTTTGGATCGATGACAAATCTCCGTGGGCTAAAAATACCCGATGACCTGTAGGTACACGTATTAGAGTTATAAAGGAAACACTTGAACCATGCTTGAACAAAGACCTGTAGGCGCCGGTTTGCGATAACCTGGCGTTTGTCAACACAGACCATGACTCGTTCTCAGAAGCTCTTAGATCGCCCTGCATGTAAGCATGGCGCTGGCAGATAAAAATCAACCGTTTGACTGTTGACATGTCAACCCGGGAAAGGACTCTGGATACTCTTAGCTTTATCCTCATTGAGAAAGGGCCATTCTGAAATATTTGTAGTCTCCACCAGACTCTTTTACAGGCTGAATAGAATCTAAGATAGTAGAAATCGGCCTAAAATTCAGTTTAGGCCGATTTCTATTATTTATTGGTCTTTATTCAGCCTGCAAAAGAGTCTGGTGGAGACTATAAGAAATTTTGGGCGACTTCTGAATTTCGCAGTACCACAGAAGGGAAGAAACAGTCCGTTACCATGGCGACGGACGGTGGAATGCGATGGGAAAGAGCAGCAAAAAACAACAAATATTATCTCAGAAGTGACTAACGCCACGCCAGGTATTTCCCTGTTGACAGAGTGCCTTCCGAGCGCCTTCGTAACGCTTCCGGTCGGGCTTTGCACTCAGATGACATCAACCTGGCCTGATTTATGTCACCCATTCCAAATATGGAGGTCAGTGGTATCAAATTACATCCCCACCGCCATATAAGGAGATGTGGGCGGGGCTAATTATGTAATCAAACTTAATGGCATGACGTAGGGTAGCCAGGTACTGAGGGCATAAAAACGTGCGGGGCGGACGGTTTGGTCGCTAGTTTCACGTACAGAAGTACAAAATGCAGAAGTTTATGTGTTCCACGCTGCTGGTGTTGTGTGTTTTGACGGCGGGGACGGCAGGGTTCGAGCTGGCGGACATGATCTCCCGGCTGCAGCGGCAGAACGCCGAGCTGACCGAGACGGTGGCGAACCTCACCGCGGCGCTGGAGGCGGCAGGCCCCGACAGAGTACAGGGTGAGCTACGGTAGCCTCCAACGGGCTTTTCTAAGGGGATAGGATAGACGTCTACAGAAACGTTATCCTCCAATAGTAGGGCCTTCCTGTGGGGGTAGTCAAGTAGAATTAGACTAGTAGTAGCCTCCACCAGGCTTTCCTAACGGGTTACTCGGAGGGTACTGAATTGGGTCACACATACTAGGGTTCTCATACCTATTTTGCTGTATTTTTACTGTAACAGTTTTTGAATCCCCGTTAATAGTTTGGTGGAGAAACTATGGGGCTACCGGTCCATATCAGATAAATCACGTACACACGTACATAGAATTACTGGAAGTACAGAAGTCTTTTTTTTTTTTGACGTGAAACGCGAGCAGACTTAAAGTGAAAGTATGACATCTTCACTAAATCGTCCCTTTCACCGTTTTGTTGGGAGAAATAACGAAGTTGTGGTGAGTAGTTATTTCGCCCCAGGCTAGCCGGGACGGCCGAAGCGGCTCGCTGCCCTACTCTACCACCCCTCACTCAACCTTAATGTAGTCTGTGTGTATTGGCAATAAATACCTAAACTCCTAAAGCTTGTCTGCTACTTGGTAGTCTCTACCAGACGCGGATTCAAAAGCAGTAAAATTTAGCCAAATATGAGAATAATTTGCCAGGGGAGTTTGGCCCGGGGGGATTTACGCATGGACTCCCCAGGCCAATTATTCTTCACTTTTTTTTTTACCGAATTCTACGATCCGTAGCCCCGTAGAAAGGCCTGATGTACTATCATGTACTCAATGTGTATTGGAAATTCAGAAAGCGTGTCCGACTTTTCGGTACAAACGCGACGACAGACGAAACCATAACAGTCCCCACAAAAGTTGTTTGGCGCTGTTTGCGGTATTTGCCAAACACCATTCACGGCTTCACCCGGGGACAATGCGATGTGCGGTTTCCCCCCGCTGGGCCCCACAGGACACGTTTAATCACGGTAAACCCCTTCACACCCTCTCGACCTTAGCATTATTATATAATTAACGCAAGCTGAGAAAATTGCCAGCAATTTTGGCCACAATGGCGCCGGCGATTTGAGCTGAACTTCGCCGCTGCCTCCTGTGGATTTTTGAATATTTTCTCTTGTTGAGAATAACAAAGGCCGACGCCATCTGGGGGAAATTTGGAGACTCGGTATAATTTATTTGTGTGCAAAAATTATCAAAGTTGTCCGGAGAAAATTATATACACAAGAAAGACCTGGCGTACAAAACATTCATTTTGACCGTAATTGACGGTTTTCACGTTCATCGCACAATTTCAAACCTTTGTCTTTGCAAAGGCCTTTTTTTTAAATCGACAACGCGCATTATATGCCGCTCTGCCTATTCACGAAATAATTGAATCGCTATTTTGGGTTTTTCGACAGTAATTTCCGCTTCTCTTGGCCAAAAAAGCCAATAAAACATCATGAAACAGACACTGGCACTATAGAAGATTTCTAGCGTCCTCGTGTATATTTCTGATGGTAGTGTTCGCGTGCCAGAAAAACGGAAGTTTCTCGCATATGTTATGTGTAAATAGTGACAACCTCATACATATAGTATCGGATCTAATCCAAACAATTAAGGTTTGATCTCAGGATCCGATAAGGGTCGTTTCGGATTTTTAATTTGATTTTCAGATGTTGACAATCATACATAAAATATACATGTAGACAGCTAAACATTACTCTGGCATTTCGGCTTCCTCTCGTTTCTTGGTAATGGTGAAAATGACTTGTCCTGATGGTATGTCAGAAGTGGCCCGTCAGTAGGTAAACTTCGTCTCACCTGGAAACCGCCGTTTGCGTTCGGGTCTGCGGCAACTTCCTTCCCGCTAATTATTAAATGCTGATCGCTAAAAAACAACGGGTGAAACATGAAACAACTTTCCGTCCGTCCCGGAGGACCTAGTAGCATTCATGTGTCAAAAGGTGAAAAGATTCGCGGCTTGTGAAGTTATTTTCATTCAGATCGGATTAAAGACCTGCCATTGAGTCACAAAGTGCTTTTACACAGCTCCATTGTTTCAAAATAAACACAATAACATCCTATTAACATTTCTGGACGGGATCGCCCGTGTTTTAAACATGATAATAAGAAACAGTACGCCCTGGCAGAATGTATTGTCGCTTGGGTGGCGGGATGTCCGTATTGTTTTGGGGACGGAAATTCGCCACGAGGCCGCAGAAAAGTATCAAAACAGTCCCTTTGTTTCGGTCCGGGTCGGGCGAAACGCGAGATCGTCAAGGTGTGGAGTATAGGAAGCTACCTGACGTGTCCTGACGTCACGGTTAGAGGAAAGTATGATCGAATATCGCCAGTTTTTGTGCGGACGGAGCGGATGCGGTTTTTATTGTTTGACCAGCCGGGCCAGGTGAGCGGAGGCCATGTTTAACAGTGGATTACTGATAGCCCGGATACCAGCCTGTTCCCAGGGTCAATACACAGAACAGAAGCTCAGGGTCTAACCAAGAAGATTCTAAATCTCCTTGGTCTAACTGCAGGTCTGTAGTAAAATATCCTTGGGACTGTTGGGATTTGGGAACTGGAGCCGAGGAGCAACATGACCTAATTTCAATTTCAAAGCAGATCTTTCGGTGACCGCACGCAAGATTGTATCAAATTGGCCAGGCAGTTTCCATTTGCTACCGAAGGCTTTCATACTATCTTGCGATCTGCTCAGTGAAGCCAGGAATACATGTACCTACATGTACCCTGTATACTGGCACCCAGCCTAGGTTACTGAGTTTGGGAGGTAAAGCTTATCACAGGCTTAGAGCTGCTTTACCGGTTTAGAATAAAACGTCCTTGACCCCAATCCTAAGTCTCTACGATGTCTGTATGCCAGGCTAGTGAAACTGTAGCCCGGCCCAAACAGAACGGCCTGCTGATTCAGGCCCGGCCGGTTCCCAGAAAACCCGTGGAACCCCGGCAGACGACAGAACAGGTGGATCGCTTTACTCGCGACACCATAGACAAGACAGTAGAAATTTTAGCAGTCGGTATTCTGAAGATGCGCTCAGCTGTTGAGATTCCCCTTGGCATGTAGGCACGTTAATCCTAACATCCCAAACTTGTATCCATTGCAATGCGGACAGCCTAATATCCAAGCAGATGTTTCTATCGCTACGTTTCTTTAATGTCATTTTCGTCTCTTAAAAGTGCCGTAAAACTTGTGTAAAACAACCAGAACATACATGTAGCAATAGCACGGTCTTCCAGGCTTCGGGAGGCGGTTGGAAAGGGTAGGAATTGGTCAAATAGAGGAATAACATGCCGGGGGGGGGGTCGCCAGAAGAGTACAGTTTGTCGCACCCGAAGCCTGGTAGAGGCTAATGTTACTAGATTAATGAAGCAATTACATAAATTCTCTATCTGTCCACAACCCTACATCTGCTTGGGAATTTACAGCGCCGTCGGTGCGAGTTTCCAGAAATAAACGTTAGCTGGGAACTTTGGCACATGGTTCCGCTTTTCCGGTTCAGATCCGAGGGTATGTGTACATGTGTGGGAGTCCCAAAAATAACAAGGAAAAAAGGATGTGTTTTCCTGATACCGAGTAGCTTTCCTGATTAGAAGCTGTCTGGTCTCCATTCTCCTCGCCTGGTTACCAAACCTATTTTATTAGCTGCCGAGACTCTTTCGTTCTCTCCGCAAAATAGAGGAAGAAAGAAACACCGCAGCTGAAACAGGTTTTGTAACCAGGATCCCTCTCTCCAGGCAAAAACGGGACGTTAAAAAAACCATCACGATTTCGCCTTTTGACTTTCAACAAATGCAAATACGTAAATCATTCTATAAACCTAGTCTCTACCAGACTAACTACGCTGGCTTTATACAGGAGCATTTTATTTGCCGGGGGACTTTGGCCGCCTTGGGGTTTGACTGGTCGAGCAGGGAAAGAATTTCTTAAGAAACAACCTTCCCGCGCGCGGCCGGACACCCTTGGCCAATTTTACTCTGCCGAATTCTACGATCCGAATTCCCGTAGAAAGGCCTGCTACTATAAACGGCATAAACCGATGACAGGGATGTGAGTGATCTGTCAGTACTTAGCAAGCTCGGCTCCCGGGCGCTCCTTTCCCACGGCTCCCCGGAGTAAACTCGCGTTACACCGCCGGGACCGGCACAGTAAACCCGCCATTACGGAGCAGTCACACACTGCAGATAGGGTTTCACTACATCAAAAACAGGCCTTGACAATTCCCAGCGACAGCACTTATATTATTGTAAAAACACACACGTCTGACTCGGTCATACTCATAGCGGAAACTGTCGAGTGTTTGGGAGTAATGTGGACACTACGGTCTTAAAATACTGGTACATATATCTTACAGGCATATCGTACCAGGATGGCAATGACGTAATCTCCAAGCAGGCGTAAGGTTCGACTTGTTTTGTGAGTGCTTTACAATGTAGTTCGTCTTTTTCAAAGGGGTACCGTGGGCGTTCACTTGAGAGACCTAGCCAAATCGGCCAAGTATCCACGGCAAGATTACGGCTTGGGCTTTCCAATTATGAGAAACTGTGTACAGTCAGAACTGATAACAAGTAGAAAACAGTACACAATACCGGTTACCAAAAAAGCCCTGCTAATTCTTCTAACAAATGCGACTGTAACACGTGTAAACCGCCCCACGTTACATCTGCTTGAGGCGCCCAGCCGTGTGTGTTTTATCCCGCCCAGTCCCGGGGGAGGGGAGACGGACTGTGGTGTTTAATGGCTGTCATTAATGACCAATCTGGCTCCTATCTCTCTGGTCTCCCCGCATATGGAACGTTATCATTGCCGACAGCGGCAGTGATAAACCTTATGCCACCTGCTACTACTATTACATACTATTACATTCAACAGTGGGGCGGGGCAAACCTACTCAAGAAATGTGACAGTACTCCTCCCCGGAAACCATCAAATCATCTTAGGGATAACCGCTCACCGTGGTGGCTTGGCATAAAAAAGGAAATACACGCCAAAAATTAGTGTTACAGGATACCAGACTGTCTCCTGGGCCTACACAGGCCAGCTCCTCGGCTACAGGGCCAAACATGCCACAAGGAAGCGTTACCACACCGCAGACCCCTTTGAAGTAGACCTTGACACTTCTACTAAGTTCTAGCTCTGTTTCAAGACTATATGTATTGTACAGTAGTCTCATCTACATCTATCATCACAGTACTTGTCCCCAGTCACACGACAGCTCAGAGTTTTGTAGGACACTCATACATGAATGAAAATGAATGTGTCCACCACTGTCACAAGAATGTGCTCAATTCGCTATCATACACCTAACCTGACTTTTTGCTTTTCTCCCTCTAGAACTGGAGACAGAGAACTCAGTGTTGCAGGCAGAGAAGACCAGACTACAGAGGGAGATATCAGGCCTGCAGGAGAGGATAGAGGATATAGAGCTCATGTACCAGACACTACAGCGGAGGGCTGCAGGTAACTATCTCTGGATAGTTCAGCGTCTAACTCTAGTAGGGAAGTGTCTACCTCAGAAAGAGGATATACATGTAGAGCTCCAGGGAGTGTCCACAGTGGGGAGTGTCTAACTCAAGATATCTAACTGTTGTTATGTGGAAGGGAACTGTTTCTGTATGCAGAATGTTACTCCCTGTCCTGACCTGTTTTCCACGATGACTCAGGTTTTGAATAAAACCCGCACAAATTACGTCACCATGGACTGAGGCCAACTCCTGAGGACCCACGAATGTTGATAATGCAGAATATCAAAATCACCACATCTGGAAAACTGAAAGGGTCTGCCCTGAAAAGCCCAGTCCACTAATTACTCTAAAAAAGAGTGATGATGTCTGAATATTGGGATGTATTGTTCAGATTTACATGTGAATTGGCTCAAAAAGCACATCTATCATTCTTTAGACCTTCCAACGACCCCAAAAATCAATAAAAGAGTGAATTATTGATTATTCTGCCTTCATCAATGTTTCATGAGCGTCTCAGATACCGGCCCCTCCCTTTCCTCTTATTTACAGGTTTTTCTGTAACAGTTTTATTAGAAACTGTCAATAATTTAGGAGGTTTAAACCCGATAACACTTTGGAACAATCTTCAGAAGGCAATTGCTTTGATCAGGGACAGACAAAGATTTAAACGTGAAGTTAATTCTTTCCTCAGTGCAAAACTCTGACAGCATTTTATCTAGGCAGTCTGGCTGCTAATGCTGAGTGAGAACTGACGTAGATAAAAAAGAAAAAAAACTAATTTTCTCTTTATCCCCCCCCTCCAGGTTCAGCAGCTGGTACAGTCCATGTTGCCATGACAACACGGATCCTGTATGCTAGCCTATCAGCTGTTGTGCTGCTCACAAGGCTCAGCAGTTTGAGGTAACCATGGTAACCAGGGGACAGTATGACTAGACAATCAGAACTGAAGTGTGACTGTGAGACTACTGGGAACTGAAGAGTGAGACCACTGGGAACTGAAGTGTGAGATCTAGACCATGGGAAAATGAAGAGTGAGACCGTCAGGAACTGAAGTGTGATACCACTGGGAACTGAAGAGTGCGAGTGCCACCACTGACCAACTAAAGACAGACCAGGGAATGGAAGAGTGAGACCACTGGGAACTTGAAGTGTGCCAGGAACTGAAGTATAAGACCACCAGGAACTGAACTTCAGATTTAGTGTGAGACTGCCGGGAACAGGGGCTGACAAATATTTATATCATAATGAATGGAAAACTATGCTTAAGTTTCCAACCTCACCTGTGCTTCATATGTCTGTGAGATCAAATTATTGCTCAGCATAGAGTGTACTCTATGTAACTTCTCAGTACAAGCCTTATTCTCATTATTTACCTCTGTGGCAGTGGTTTTAAGTGCTTTTATAAGATGTTTTATACAGAAGCACAATGTCTTCCACTTGTGCTATTACTAAATCTGTCCTATAGTACTATTTTATAAGTCTAAGCTGTGCCTAGATTTGCCAACTGTGCTTGTAAATATGTAATTTTATGTCACTCAGATGGTCCTTTTTCAACCCATCACTCAGTTGTGTTAGACAAGGTAGCAGTGTTCTTTTTGTTTCCAATAGCGACACGTGAAAGTTGCTAGTTTCAGTAACGTTAATGACCAAATGTTTATATCTATCAACTCCATGATGAAAGATCCAAAACAAGGTACACATGTACTGTCACGCAAAAGTCAATTTAAATCAATAGTAGATGTAAATAATCTAAAAGAATCAATCTATATAGCAATGAATGTATATTGTGTGATGAAGATGAGCTGATTAAAAAGCAAATTTTATTATTATGAATATATTAGTGTTTGTGTGTTTGTATTTGCATTGCCTGAATAAAGGCAAATGTGTGTTTTATGACTTACTCTTACTTATTATTCCAACACAAGAAATTGGACTTACCCAAATTTTCGACTGTGTAACGCCAGTCTTTGTCAAAGCTCTCTGTAATGATAGTAGTGCCTGGCAATAGCTGATCCACAATGGTACACCGTATACTGGTGTCTCAACATTTGAAAGCTATAGCTACTGCCAAGGCAATGAGAAAGGCCAGACTAAAGGACTGAAAGCACTAGTACTTGTAGTAGACGTACATGTACTTTGTGCAGTGGCTACATTACAGTAGTGCCATGTACAAAAGGATACAGCTGAGTTCAGCCTGTGTTGTGCTCAGCACCTGTTCATAGTACTTCTCCAGCTGAACACTTCTCTCCTTCGCCTTGTTACACATGTACTCCTGGTATGTCCGCTCCTGGTGAGACTACAGGGGAAGGAGGGCATCACTTCACTTCTCCACATCTTCAAGGAACTGAATTTTTTCTTTGAAGAGGTTCATCAGTCACATAGAATTAACAGTTAGTAGAAATTCTTCAGTAACTGTATTTTTGTACCCCTACTCCGCAAGGAGGCGGGGGAGGCCAGAAGATCCACACACGTCTCGACCTAGTCTTGTGTTCTCGCGAGACTAGGTCACTCCGTGAACAAGATGTACAGTGGCCATCTAAAATTTGGGGGTACGTAATCTACCTTACAAAAATACAGTCACTGATCAAATTTCTACAAACTGAATTTTTTCTTTAATTAAAAGGGTATCATGCTGAATATGTCTTATCCATAAAGAATACATGTACAGTCAAATTTGAACAAAATGAGAATGAAATGGAAGTGCTCTCTTTGACTACAAGTTCATGTACAGGTGTTAGTTGTAGTTTGTACAGGAGTCACTAGATGGCATTGCTACAGAAGCGTGCATGCAAATCTTCCCAATGACAATGTCCCTACTGACCTGGTAAGTCCAGAAGGACATGGCTCGAGAACAGATCTCCATAATCACCTCTGGTCTCTGTCCTGCCAGAACCATCTACAGGGCATGAAAGGGACTGAGTAGTAAATACAGTGGAGCTATCTGCTTCAAATAAGAATAATCATTAACAAAGTCACTTTTGCTTAAAGAAAAATGAATCTACAGACCGACTTGTACTGCTCTGAAGGCTGGAGGTCGATTCTGACGATGTCAAACTTGTCTGACAAACTGGTTTCACCTGGAGGAAAGAGAGTTGTGATCATGAAAAAGAAACCAAAACTGCTTGTAAAGAAGACAGGTGTCAGTTATTCTCCAATCAGATGTTAGGCTGTTTGGGATATTGCTATGTGATTTTCAAGGCCTTTTGTTTTGTTGGCTTTTCTTTTGGTAAACTGGCCTGACTTGGAGGGTAGAATAATATGTACTTACATGCTGGGCAGGTGTAACATTTGTTAAACTCCCTGGTTCCATCCTCATCACAGAATATATGGGAGCAGGAGGTCACCTGGAAAGAATGGGTGATGACAAGGATGAAAATTCCCCTGGGAGGTTTTAGAAAAATCCATACGAAAAGATTTAGAAGAAAAACAGTTATGCCAATGTGAAGAAAAATTGTGCTATATGTACATACCCAAGCGAACGTGGTGAGCCTCTTGCGACACTTCTTGTAGTTGCAGATGAGATCGTTGTCCATTGTGGCGTCACTAGTGACCAAAAAAGTCTGTGATGGTATCGATCTCCCCCTTGACTGGAGGATCACAAGCAATTTGCGTTCCAGTCACACAAGAACGTGAACAAAAATACACGGAATAGAAAGAGGAACTGATCACATGCAAGCGGTTCGTAAGTTGGAAAATGATGGCCCGGTTATCCCAGGTTATTCTATATATGCTCATAACGTTAAATATGAAAATGTCACTTTAAGATCAAGATACAAAAAGTGGACACTACATTTACTGAATCATCCATTGCATAAGATGTTGAGTATTAAAAATTCAAAATTATTTTCACAAAAAAAAAAGATCTTTGTGGAGTGTGACGGAAGCTGATTTATCAAATACACTCCCCAAAAGCGCCCATTCACACAGATGAAAGCGATCGCGAGATGATTTCTCTCTCAATGGGTGAAAAAATTACCTTAGACGATGAGATTTTCCTGTAAACTTGTCCACAACTCACCTTTACTTTCTCTTCCTTTTCTTGTTTTCAGCGAATCGTAGAATTTTCGATTTTCCAAAATGGCGGCTTTTCGAAATCTCGTCTGTGATTGGTCAGAAGTTTGACCTCGTTCCTAGAACTATTTTTTTTTGAACGTACAGCTCTCGATCCCAGGATAGTCTCCTACACGGCTGGCGATAGATTAGAAAATACTTAGTTCATCCTGAAGACTGATATTTTAACGCTTTTACTTCCTATAAGACAAAAATCTGATCCTTCGAGGCACAAAATAAAAGGAATGCGGAAACGCCAACAAAAACAAACTCACAAAACTGAACTCTCGCGAAGTACTGCGAGATTTCTTGAAATTCCGAGATTGGACGATGTCATATTGGCCTGAGGGGCGTTGCGTTGGACATTTTTATCTTGTCAGTTTAGAATGAATAGGAAGAAAATGATAGGCCAAAACAGTACTTTAAGCTATAAGTAATACATTCAATTTAAGATAAGGTTTATGTGAATAGTTTATATAACGTCTAAGCCCTGACGTATATTTTGTACCCCCCGGAGTAGAGTGGTTCGTGCCTGACGTGGCAGATATCAAAGATGGCGGGCTGGACGGGGTTTTCGGACGAAGAGTTGGCCAGAATAAAAGGCGTCCAGGACGGTATGTGTTAGTCTGCAACAGTTCTAGATAACGCTGTGTTCAGTAGAGATAATGAATGACATTTGGGCGTAGTTTCTTGTGCGTACGATGTCTAGGTAGCTTGTAATGACGAGACGAAATTGGGGGAGGGTCTGTTCTCGACAGTAGTCCGACAACTTGTCAACAACTTTCTCTATTTAGCAAGTCTAGTCAAATTTGCTAAAGCCAGGAAGTTTTAACCTCGATCCCTGGTCAAAGTACTACTTTATCTGATAAGTTATAAAACAAATACAAATGATCGTAGTTTAGATATCTATATCTGTGTAAAGTCTACAAGGTAATTATAGATAATTTACAAACAAGGTGAGAAAGTTTTTATGTTTTGCCAATGAGGTTTTTAGTAAAACCTCCTTGATCTCGCAAGGGAAGAAGAGGTAAGTAAGTAATATCAGTATATGATCAACAGTAAATGTTAAGCTGAAGAATCTGTTGACATCTGTTTGATATGTTTGAAAACATCTGAAAATTCTAAGATTGTAGATGGTCCACCTAAACCAGTATCATGATCAGGGCTCGAACTTAACTTTTTCCCTACTGTCCCAGAACTGTCCCAAAAATAAATTCCAACTGTCCCAAAGTGAGGATTGACTGTCCCAAACTGGTTTTCAGGAAGTATGTATTACAACAACAATAAAGCTGAGTCAGAGAACAGTTGCTGTGTAAGCTAATTGTCAATTGAAATAAACACAAAATCAACTCAAATTGAAACTTGTCTTGGCTGGTTTATTGTGCCGACAAATGTAACAAAGACAAGCCAAAGTTCTTTTCAAACTTTCTTTCCATTTTCTTTCCTTCCACTTGTTATGTGTAGGCTACAGTAAGTGGCCCCTGTAAAGTGTGCATACTGCATGCTGCACACTGCAGTACTATATTATACTGCATGTATTACAATTCACAAATATTTACATGTTTAAATGTTTTACATTTCAAGCCCCCCTCCCCCCTTCCGTCGGCGCATCCCTCTTTCGTACCGGCTGTACGATCTGGAGGCTGACACTCAGTTGTTGAAACCACGCCGTCAGACTGAGATGATCCTGAACGTCTTTGAGGATCGACAGCATTGACTGCATTCGACGCCGGGGCCGCTCGCGGCGAGGAGAAAAAAGAGGAAATTTTCCCCTGTGCCATGCCGGCCATGACTCTCAAATTTTCTGATTTCGGCTGTTTTCGGCATTCCATTCGTCATTTCGCGGGAAACTAGGCGAAGTTTACCGAAAGACACCGTACATTCCCGAGCTTTGCCGGTTCACTATATTTGGCATTGTCAGCTGATCTCCCGAGCATCTCCGGAAATATCCGAACATTAAACAGTTACAGTTCGCCATATATGGCAGATGCCTTGATTGGATGGAAGCTGTGATTGGTTGAATGTTGTTTACATGGATAGAATGTCTGGGAACTGGCGTGGGAAAGTGGCGCCAAGGCGGCGGGCTGCAATAGATCAAAGGCGATGGGCGGGGCGACAAAATAGTGGCCACATGCGTACACGGGTGCCACACGCGCTGCTCAGCTGAGTGTATATCGAATTCGGCGGCTTTTGGTGAGGCCCAAAAATGGGTTGCGCGCCTGACAAACGTATGAACGGCTGACATTCTGATTGTGAATGTTGGTTATTTTTCCAGTGTCCCAAAAATGTCCCAAAGTGATTTTTCAGTTGTCCCGGCCGAAATTTTAGTGGCCAGGGGACATCGGGACATCGTTAAGTTCGAGCCCTGATGATGGTTGAAGAAGAGACATAAATTTTAAAGCAGTAGTCTAAACTGGACTAACCACCTATATAGCTACACAACTCTACTGTAGTATTAAATTGTACAGTTTCATCAGGTTGGTACTATATAGTATAGGAGGTTTCCCTTTAACACAACCAGTTGTGCATCTTACTCTTCCTTACAGGTGGTCCAGGTGGTCATCAGAAGCGGCGTCCAACCAGAACCCCCCCACAGCGCACCCGACAGCAACAACAGCGCGACAAACTCATCCAGGAGAAGATTGCTGAGATCAACCACAGCAGCGCCAACGGCAAACTGGACTCCTTATCCACTGGGAACAGGATGAAACTCGCCGTGAAAAAGGAACAGCCCAAACCCAAGTCTCCCAGTCCACAGACCAAGAAGAAAGTGACTTTTCAGCTCCCAGAGGAAGGAGATAATCCTGAGACGACAGGAGGAGGAGACGCAGACACGTCTGGGACACCTGAGACGTCTTCTGAACCTCCTCAGGAGGAGAAGGAGCCTGAGATGATCACAGATGATAAGGAGGTGGAGAAGTAAGCTGCTTAAGGAACTGCTTGCGCTGCTAATTATAAACGCTCCCTTTCCACTAGACTTCTTCTTCTTCCTCAAAGTACATGTCAAACTTCATTAAGTTGAAGGCTCATGACATGGGGGGGGGGGGGTGAGTGAGGGGTGGTCGCTTTCTTTTAAAGTTTGTATGGCGTGAGTAAGAGGAGGAGACCCAGCTCCTCAATGGGCAGGGGCGCTACTCCCTGTCCGCCATCCTGCAAGTGGGTAGACAGTGATCGTTCAGCAACCATACAACAACCAAAATTAGTGTGCGATTCTTGATTTCAAGATTGGAATACGATCCAATAAGTAGGATTTAAAAGACAACAAAAACACATGCACAAAAAGTAACAAAACAGTTAAAATCTGCATGTCAAATTTTTTGTCGTCCAGCCTTCACAGCCTCTAGTGACTGTGGGAAAGAGAAGTAACTGTAAGGCAGTACTTGTGCCCATTAAGGCTACCTTAGAGTGCAGGTGAATAACACACACACACAGGAGGATGTGCCTTTTCAGGCTGTTGTTTACTGTATTGTCCAGCTGAATATCACTTGCACAAGTTCAGGATGTGCCTGCCCATTGTTGTTTAATGTTGAAAACAGGAAGTCCTTGTTTTAGCTCCTGTTATAAAATCATATAAATCATATCTGGAGCACACAGACATGTTTTGTCAGGGTGCCATACTCATAGTGAACCATATTTCCTTATGCATATTTTTGGGAAAAATGTTTTGACCTCTACCACTTCCCTTAGAATAAGATGTGTCAATCTTATATAATCTACCAAGAAATATCAGGGAATGTTCATCAGACATTTATTTGTCCGAGTGCTTCAGTGTATAAAATGTGGTTTCTGGTATTTTCCACAATGCTGTATTTTTGTGTTTCAGACGAGAATATTCCAAACTGGAGCAGATCCAGAAACAGCAGAAGGAGATTGAGGAGTTGAACAAGAGGAAGAAACTTCTGCTGTCTAAAGCCATCGCTGACAGGTCAGGAGATACTGCTGTGTTGTGTGTCTGAAGCAGGTTTTCAGCTAGCAGGGCATCTTGGGGATATCTTGTACTGAAAATTAGATACTCTACTTTTAAGATGTCCTACTTTTTGCACACATACCTTCTCCCAGCTTCAACAGTTCAAGATAAATTATCTTTGTAACAAAAACTTGGCTGCATTGCAGGAAACAACTTGTTCCAGAGAGTTACGAATTTCAAAGATTTTCCCCTTTACTCGTCACTTGGCGCCTCCTTATTTCCTGTGTCTTAAGACAGACCACATCCTTATTTCCTTGTGTCTAAGATCCCAGTCTTGTTTCTTGTCCCCTCAGGAAGAAGCGTACCCAGCAGGAGGCAGCGAGGCTGAGCCTGATACAGAAGGAGCTGGAGAAGATGGAACACCTCCTTATTTCTCATGTCTTAAGACAGAACACCTCCTTATTTCCTGTGTCTAAGATCTTGTGCCTTATATAATTATATCCTCAGGAAGAAACGTACCCAGCAGGAGGCGGCCAGACTGAGCCTGATCCAGAAGGAGCTGGAGAAGATGGAACACCTGCTGAACGTGGACGTCTCCATCCTCAGGGACAGGATCGACGATGTCAGCAGGGAGTACTCTGAGGCAAGGTCAGTATGGCAGTCTGTCAATCAATCAATCAATCAGTCAATCCATCTATCTATCTATCTATCTATCTATCTATCTATCTATCTATCTATCTATCTATCTATCTATGTATCTATCTATCTATCTATCTATCTATCTATCTATCTATCTATCTATCTATCTATCTATCTATCTATCTATCTATCTATCTATCTATCTATCTATCTATCTATCTATCTATCTATCTATCTATCTATCTATCTATCTATCTATGTATCTATCTATCTATCTATCTATCTATCTATCTATCTATCAATCAGCCAATCAATCAATCATTGAGTTAGTCAGTCAGTCAATCAATGAATCGATCAGCCAATTAATCAGTTAGCCAATTAATCAATCAATCAATCAGGTTTTCAACTTTAATCTGGAAAGTGTTTCCAGAAGGCAGAAAAGGAGTTCATGTTTACTATTTGTTTACCATTTATTTACTGTTTATTGGTTTGTTTACTGTTGCCCAGGAAACGGCTACAGAAGGCAGAAGAAGAGTACGTCCAGGCTAAACTGGAGTTGTTTGTTGGTTTGTTTACTGTTTACCGTTACCCAGGAAACGGCTACAGAAGGCAGGAGAAGGGTACGTCCAGGCTAAACTGGAGTTCCACCAGAAGTCAGAGCTGAAAGAACAGCTGACGGAGCACCTGTTTATTTACTGTTTGTTTACTTACTGTTTGTTTACTTTTGCCCAGGAAACGGTTACAGAAAGCAGAGGAAGAGTACGTCCAGGCTAAGCTGGAGTTCCATCAGAAGTCAGAGCTGAAGGAACAGCTGACGGAGCACCTGTACTCCATCATCCAGCAGAATGAGCTGAGGAAGTCACGGAAACTCGCAGAGCTCATGGAGAAGATGGAGATGGTCCAGGTAAGAACTTGGGTTTATTATGAAAGTCCATCTGTGTTGGTAGTTACATGTTTAGAGTTAAAACTTAAGATCCAACACAAAGTTCTCTCACCTAGAGCATTCGACCAGTCATCCAGTGAGGCTTGTCACGTGGCTTCTTTGAAGCGTGACGTCAACACTGGGTCAAAGGTATCTGGTAGACGATGTCGACCCCCCTTGCAGTTCGGTGAAGGGTGATGGGCCCTGATGTATAAGGCCTCCTTCACCCCTTTTTACTTGGGTCTAAATCATGGGATTTCGACTCCTGTCACCATGAAATATGAATGTGTTTGAGTAAGAATTAACAGTCTAAAAGCAGACCATATGTGGAGGTAAACATTATGCATTTTACAAATGTTACCTTTCTAGTTTACATATTTAAACCTCAGAATAACCTCCCTTTCCCTGGTCCAGGCAGGAGAGGAGGAGGAGCTACCTGCCATGGAGGAGCTGCATCCTCCCATGATGCACCTGGAGTCACCTGGGCTCCATCCCGAGGCAGCAAAACTGGCCAATCAGCAGCAGGCAGCGGAAAAACCTGCCGACTCAGCGGAAAAACCTGCCGACTCAGCAGAAAAACCTGCCGACTCAGCGGAAAAACCTGCCGACTCAGCAGAAAAACCCTCCAGTGACGACGTTTCTACTGAAAACACAGGGAGCTCAGCAGAGAAAAGTACAAATAACGAAAATCCTCCTACCAAAACTACAGAACAAACTACAGGGGAGGGGGACAAACCACCCAACAGTGGAGGTACAAGAGAAAAAGTTGATACAGATGTTACAGCAAAGAAAAATGACACTGAAACTAAAAGTCCTGATGATGCAGGAAGTGGAGATTCCTCTGTACAGTCAGCGGGAGATGGGGATAAGGAGAGGACAGAGAACGGTCCTGATGCTGATACACAACAAACATCACAATTACAGCAATGATAAAGTAAAGGAGCCTTAGATTTAAGATGAGGTAAATGATTAAAATTATGGTTATTTTAAAAGACCAGATGATAAAACAGCAACATAATTGTATCTTCCATATATTACAGTCTATCCTAAAGTCTTTACTGTACATACTGTACTATGCACTGGGGGCATCAAATGCCAAAATCTACTAAACTACAGGCCAGAGTAGATCCTTTTTTACCCAGCTTTCATCCCAGTATTAATGCTGCTGTAAGATGCAGTAGCCTTTTTTTGTTGTTCAATATATATATAACTACATTGAGATTTGCTTTATGCATGTAACTTACATGTAGGTGTGCTTGTTACATAGATACGCTTGGCAGCTTTCAACTTTGCTAGTTTGCCAATTGCTTCATGTGGAAAATTATTAAAGGGGGTCTGCCTACCTAGAAGGTAGACATTTTCAATGTTTGTAGGTATTAGCCATACTCTACCATTTGTACATTTAGAGAATAGAACTTGTAAATAGAGAAGTATTTTTGTAGACTACATCGAACCGTGGTGTTCATACTGCCGTTATGACATCTGCAACATTGCCTGCCTTTGAACCTGCCAAAGCAATAGTTTTCACTACACTACCAACAGGTAATGTTCAGTTGAAAAGCACCTCTTTGGATAATCTCTGAACTGCAGGGACAGTATTTAGCTATATTTAGCTTTTCTCTTTCTTTCTGTTTTTTACTTATCTATGGTGAAGTATATCAGCATGGGGATGTATAGATAGAATACATGTTAGTTTCAAACTAACTATATTTTTGAGATGCTAAAATGACATAAATGATTATGGTAGGCTGACTTAGGCCAGTAAATTTTTTAAAATGTGGAAAAGGTAGAAAAAAAAAGTTGACCACTGTGGTCTTATTGGTGGAGGAATTGACAGTGATTTTCTTTAATTTATTATTCCATCTAAACGAAGATGTTATATATTAATGTTATTTACTGATTATATTCAACAGTATTGAAATGCACATTCAGCATTAACACTGAAAATTTGTAATGGAAGCACTTGAAGCCATGAATTACATGGAGTTTACAGCTTATAGATGATTTTTTTTTGTTTTTGATGAGTAATTTCAGGTTGGAGGGCTTCCATGTTCTATGGGAGGTACAGTCACTGGTGCAATATAAACATGTACATACTTCAGTCTGGCTTGTGTATATACTTGTCTTGGGCTGTTTTATGACTTAGTTTCTACCTTTTCAAGACATAGTGTATGCTTCACCCTACTTTTGTCAGTTACTTTAAGTTAAATTATGGCAGATCAAAATTAAGAAATTAAGGTGGAAGTCATCAGTTCTTTAGACTCTACAGAAAGAACCCATCTTCAGTTCACTTGAAGATGAGTTGAGATTATAAAGTTATATAAAAAATTTCAAGTTTAGATTATACTACTATTTCTAGTAAATAAAAGAAGACAGCAACCAACCGTGAGATTCTGAGTATTTTTATTCCCAGTGTAGCCACTGCTGACTTCTCTTGTGCACATATCAATAAATATGTCTTCAGGACTGACCAGTGCTTCTACTGTAGCTGTGTTGCTTATAGCGGTGACAAGTATGGCACATATTTGTAAATCACATGGTGAGAAAATTGTCAATATTACAACATTTGGCCATAGTTTTCTCCTCACTCCCTTGTCTTACACATAATAAGTAGGAGTAAAAACAGTGAGTAGGAAACATTGGTACATTTTGTCCTTCCTTACAAGAGGAAGGTACATGTAAACAGTTTATAACATGCCAAGATTCCACAAATGACAAGTACAATGTACAGGTACAGCTATGACTAGTAACTTTAGTACACAGACCTTCACAATGCACCATGATGTGTTCCTAACTTAATTCAAACTCGTTCCATTTTGGACTATTTTTTCATAGTTAACTTGTAAGAATGATCTTGTCCAAACTGGTCTTTTACAGTTTCCTTGTCCAAAGTGTGCTGCTATATTTCCTGTCTACCACTGCAGTCTGTGTTTTCTCTGTCATCTACTCCCAGTCATGTTTCCACCAGCCAAAAATTGCACAGAACTTCAGTCTGTTCAGATATTGGCAGGATTTAAGTAACTAAAATCTACCATGTTTTGGATCTATCTACTTCATTCAAGTGTGTTCACACTGGCACCTTTACACTGTGTTAGCTGATGTGTTACTAACGTAGTACAACAGACTACAAATATATGAAGCCTTCCAAAGTGTATCTGCTGTCTTGCCAAATGTAGTAAAGTGACCAGTGTTGTTAGGAAGCTGAGGTTGCACATCTCCCTTCCCTGCAAGACCCAAGGGTAAACCCAAGGTTTGTGTCTTCTACGATTCACACAAAATACACAGTAACACCATTCTACAGTACAGTACAGTTAGCTTAGCTGGGACAGATTGTACACTGTGTACATTACTGTACAAAAAGGAGGGCAACATTGGCAGCAGCTATCTATAGTCTGAGGTAGTCTGGCCCAGAGAAGCTTCGAGCATGACCCTAACTCACTGACTCACACGTACACACAGATTCCATCTACATGACAAAAAATTCTTTGCAAGGTTATGTTCTCTGCAGAGCCAATTTTTAACAAAAACATGTGGAAACAAAAAATTGAAGATTTACAATTCATTGATTGAAGACCAAGTCCAGGATATTTTAACTCTTACTTTCTTATTTACAGGACGACACAAACGACAAATATTTCCAGATTTTTCTCTAAACGACCTTGTGGCGGTGGCTATCTAAGGACATCAAGATGGCCGCACGGCTCTCTCCCCTTGGGAATCGCCATGGGAACGGATTCCTGCTCCCGATTGGTCGCTCTGGGCTTCACCATGGCAACAGGCTCCCGATTGGTCGCTCTGGGCTTCACCATGGCGACAGGCTCCTGATTGGTCCCCCGGGGGCCCGTCCCATCATGCACCTCCCCATCGTCGACCTGGTTGCGCTGGAAGTAGTAGTCCTCGACGACCCCGCCCTGCAGCGACAGTCTGACCTTCTCTGCAAACTCCTCCCAGTTCATGCACGGCTCGAAGAACGGCGACAGTGGCTCCTCAAGGTTAGGGTGGTACAGCAGGAACAGCAGACCGATTATCACATCCTGGGAACAGCAAGAAATAAAACGTTAGTCATACATGTACTAGTACATTGTATTAACAGACATACAGCTGCAGTTCCCAACATTGGGGACAGGGGGCTCCTCCAGGATAGGGTGGTACAGCAGGAACAGCAGACCGATTATCACATCCTGGGGAAACATAAAACAAACCACTGCAGTACCTAACAATGGGGACAGAGGGCTCCTCAAGGTTAGGGTGGTACAGCAGGAACAGCAGACCGATTATCACATCCTGGGGACAGCGAGAGATAAAACATGTCATCCTAACTAACAAACATGCAGCTGCAGTACCTAACAATGGGGACAGGGGGCTCTTCAAGGTTAGGGTGGTACAGCAGGAACAGCAGACCGATTATCACATCCTGGGGAAAAATACAACACTATTGTAGTTATGCTAACAGCTGCAGTTCCTAAGAATATCAACAGGGGGCTCCTCCAGGTTAGGGTGGTACAGCAGGAACAGCAGACCAATTATCACATCCTGGGAACAGCAAGATATAAAACATGAGTTATACATGTACTAGTACATTGTACTAACAAACATACAGCTGCAGTACCTAAGAACAGGGACAGGGGACTCCTCAAGGTTATGGTGATACAGCAGGAACAGTAGATCACTGACAAATGATCACATCCTGGGGCCAAATAAAACAAACCAAGCAACCTACAAACAGATGCGATTTCGTTCATCCTGTGGCCACACTGTTTTTTGACCGAAATTTATAAGGTTGTTGCCTTACCTCGAGGGTGAATGTCGGCTGCCACTCGTCCAGCAGTGAGAGACAGATCTCTCCCTCATACTCATCCACGGTGTCGATGTTTGGGTGGTAGATGTTGGTCAGGCACACAACTCGTGGGGGGTACTGGGGGTACTGGTCATGGAGAGAGAACTGTGTGTGTGGATAGGAGAGAGAAGTGGGTTATACACATGTACAGACACTGCAAGACCTTTACTGTACATTTTGTTTGTACAATCTATGAACAGGTGATAGAGAATTTCCATAATAGTGCTTGTTATAACACCTTAAATGAGGCACAACCAATTTCATCATTTACATGACAACAGTATGGCTATAAAATACTGCAATCACTACAGCAGAGACCCAGTTTTACAATTTTATTGCCCTACTCTTCTATACTCACCTGATAACGGAAACCCTAATATTAGATGACACTTGATTTTTATTTATTTGGTAAACGACTTGGGTCAATATGCATACCTAGTACTAGCCTGGGTGCCATCCCCAGTAGTATATTCGCCAGCTCTATAACTGGGTCTGGACTTGATGACATATGAAACGTCTGGTGATGACGTCACATAATGAGCTAGTCCGAGCAGCGGGTCTTCATTTGATTGGCTGACCCTCAGAGGTGACGGCCAATGGCGCGCCTGTATTATTCAAGTGATGTTTGTTGTTTTGTAAACACAGATCTTCGCGCGAGTGTTCCTTTTCTCGGTGCGTTCTATTTTTGCGAGGTCAACATCAAGCTCCGAGAGCTGAGCGGCTTGTGCGCCAGCCATGTTGATGATCGATCGCGGAAAGTACACTGACTACGGCTATATCAAGCGCGCTTTAGCGTTCGGCGTCAGACATGTTGATGATAATAAGATAAGAATAACGATCTATCTTAACGTAGCCGTTCGGACGTTCGAACGGACGCTAACGTTGCCGTTCGGACGTCCGAACGGCCCTTACCTAATATGTACACACCCAAAAAGGGCTTAGACGAGTAGGACCAATAAGCGCGCTCGTTCAAAATCTGAACGAATATTCAGACTCCAGACGTTTCATATGTCATCAAGTCCAGACTCAGTTATAGAGCTGGCGAATATACTACTGGGGATGGCACCCAGGCTAACCTAGTACTGCACCACATGTATATCATGATTATATTTTTATTGCAACACTGCATGACATGTTGCATCACACTGTGTGGGGTGAAGATCTAGTCATGACAACCATACATGAACCTTTTGCCTACAAAGTTAATATAAACCATTACAAACTCCTGCCCTATCCTGTACCTTAAACGTGAAGCGTCCCCTGCGGTAGAGCCCGTCTTTAGGAACGATGCAGACGCCGAACTGCAGCGGCGCGCTGCCCCAGTCCTCCACGGCCGCCTGGCCCGCCGAGATCCGGTCCACGTTCCGCAGCAACTGGTGGAACTCCTGCGCCAAACCTGCAACAGGGAACAGGAAGATGTACTTTGCTACTAGCCTTCTACCCGTACATCTAGAGTATGCACCGATATTCGACGTGATCTCCTAGAAACTCTTCCAGCATCACACAATTGCATAGACAGACAAGTTGACTCTGAACTGAACCAATTGGGCTGTTCAAGAAAAAAAAAATGGAGGGTGGGTTGAAGAGCTTGTATTCTCTACTTTCTGACTCCCCTTATATATTTTTATCCGAGTGCCTTGACCCCCTTTTCATTTCATCCATATGCAAGTGACTTAAATCCAAGGTTTGCTTGATACCTTGATACCGTCTTCAGTTTGCTGCTTGTAAACTCTAAATTCAGAGCAAATTTACAAATCCAGAGTTTGCTTGACCCCCCGCAATTCAAATCCAAAATCCACACCCACTAACCCCCTATGTAAAATCCGACCTCTTCACCCCCCCCCCCATAATTTTATTTTTTGAACGGCGCAAGAGACCACATCTAGACAACAACAACAACAACAACAGAGATATGAGACATTAAACAACGACAACAACCACCACGAACCTGAGTACTTCATGCTGACGTTTTGGTGTCGTCAAGACGCCAGGAAAGTGAGAAACTTAAGATGGAGGGAGACGCTGTGTAAGATATGGCGCGCCCGCCACGTGGAAAGCGCGGCCAAAGGTTCCCCTCTCTCCCTCGGTAGCTTCTTCTCGGCTTGCGCCACGCGGTCGGGTATTTTTAGCCGTCCGCCGGGCAGGGTTGGCTGGTTTAGACGGCTGGGCGGAATATTTCAGGCCATTTATAGCCGCCAGCCGCTGTACGATCCTGCAACGTTGTGCAATAGCTTCAATGGACTTTCTGGGACGCGCTTTTGTAATGTCACACTTGGGAGATACCATTTTAGGGGGTGCGAGGTTGTTTGTGTCCTCAAATGTTTAGCATATGATCACCAGTTTTCATTAAATCAACACTTATGTCAAATTATAGCATTACGCTTTACTTTCGTATGAAAATATTTGCAGTTGAGGCCGTTATGTTTCCTAAGTTATCATATTTAATATGCATTATGAAGTTGCACTACCTATTTTTTCTAAAGTGGTATTGTCCATCCTGCACGTGACGTAATCGCGCGAAATCCGGCTGACCTAGGTCACATTTGGAAGAGTGCACTATGAAAAACGGGGGAAATATGAAGTTATATAATAAAATGATTGATAAAAATTGGTTTTATTTAAAATCTTTATTTGACTTTAATAGGCAGTAAAATGATTTTTATTTATTTTTCTATTTTACATGACGATGATGACTTAACAATACATTTAGTTTTCATATTCCCCACTTCCACATGTAACAGTCCAACAAATGTCCCGTCATGCAGTGCGCAGAATTCCTGATCTCTGTGGAAAATGGCGGAAGAGAAGTAAACAGTTTGTAAACATTGAAGAAAACGCTGCATTTCTCCTTCCCACTAACAACTGTGAGCAAGTCAACGCACCACAATGCAGGCTGAAGACGCTAGATACCTGAAAAGGTGGGTTTTAGTTAATTTTGGTCCTCGTTTATGAGAGAATGAATAGGAAATTAGGTTTTTCTCAGTCGGCCCAAAAAAAACCTAGCTGTCAAAAATAATTGAATTATGACATGTATGGTGATAAGAATACTATTCCTATGAATTTCGTATGTGCATTTTGTTGCAACTTTTTAAAAGAAAAAAATGTCAATCATGAAAGTATAGTTTCGAATGATACCATCGTAATGTGAAATAATTTAATTTGGAGGGTGCATGTGTGCTTGTGTGTGTGTGTGTGTGTGTCAGTGCGTTTGTGTGTGTGTGTGTTTTATTGTATGTGTAAGTGTGTGTGTGTTTTATTGTATGTGTAAGTGTGTGTGTGTGCGTGTGAGTGATTGTCTATAAACCCCCCACTGTTACAAGTGTTTGTTAGTGTGTGTGGTAGTGCACGCGTGCAGGGGTGTGTTTGTGTGTGTGTGTTTGTTAGTGCGTGCGAGTGAGTGTGTGTGCGTGGGTGACTGATGTGTAGAGGTACGATATCGATTAGTCATGATAGTTGTTGTTTATTTCATTTTTCTTATTTATTGTTGTTGTTCCACAGGAAAGTGAAAGGAGGAGGGATAGATGTCCACCCTACAGAGAAGGCCCTGATCGTGAACTATGAGGTAGAAGCTACAATTCTGGGAGAGCTGGGAGATCCCATGCTGGGGGAGAGGAAGGAGTGCCAGAAAGTGTAAGTACAGTCTCATACTTTTTTTATATCCAGAACCACGTCTGTCTAGTTCTATGCCTGAATGGGTTAGGGTTAGGATCAGGCACAGTTCTGGATAGTCTCTATTGTATCCAGAACTGTGCCTATCTAGTTCCATGCCTGAATGGGTTAGGGTTAGGGTTAGGCACAGTTCAGGAGAGTCTCGGCATGTCCAAGAACTTAGATTTGTCCCAGGAACAATTCTGGATATGAGAGAACATCCAGAATGATGCTTTATCCTAAGGAATGCAATCAGTGCTAAAAAAGCTAACTGGCAGGGTGCAGAAACAGGGTTGCTTTCTAACCAAACCATTTTCCTGTGGCAAGGCAGCACAGCTGTATAATTTGAGGTCATGTTGAGGTCACCAGAACTGTTGTGTTCTATTTGTGCTGACACGTTTGTTCTGACCTTCCTCAGGATCAAGGTCAAACACCTGAACCAGAACAGCAACATCGCGCTGCTGGCGCGGGAAATCGTGGAGAAGTGTAAACTGATCCACCCCAGCAAGCTGCCCGAAGTCGAACAGCTGCTGTACTATCTACAAAACAGGAAGGACGCACCCCTCTCCTCAGGTTTGTTTGTTTGTTTATAAACCTTTCTTTGTTTATTTGTATAAAATTTCACAATGCATCAAACACATCCATCCATGGTTATACATGTAGAAGATGATGCATAACTCCCATCATGCCTTGCGGGGCTAACTGACACCTGATATGTTTGTTCTCCAGCTGACAAGAAGGGGTCATCGACCTTCACAGGACAGCTGAAGGACCCGCCGCCCTTCGACGGCATGGAGGTCAGAGTCTGCTGTTCATGTTTGAGTTATGCAGTAGAAATTTTGAGAAATGTTGTGTTGTAGGTTTTTGTATTGCAGATTTTAGGTTCAGCTTTGATTTTTTTTGTGTGCTTCAATCCATTAAACAAAACTTTCTTTTTTCTGAGTTCAGGTTGACGAGGTGGCGAACATTAACGACCTTGATGACTACATGGAGCTGTTGTACGAGGATGTCCCTAAGAAAGTCCGAGGTTCTGCACTAATTCTGCAACTGTCCCGTAACCCTGACAACCTTGAAGAACTGGTGCAGAATGGTACGTTCTTTCAACATGTTTTTAGCAGAAGTGTACAACTGTTTTTCTCAGAGGAAGTGCCAACAACAATAGTTTGTAATTTAAAGTCTGGCCAATTTGTGGTTTTTGTCATTTCTGTATTTAAAAAGGAGAAATTCTTTTAAGTGTAAAGCTACTTTTCTTCTGTCTCAACAACTGTTTTTGTAAGGAAACATCTCTTTTCATCTGAGCTTTTGTCCTTTTCTGCTGTTCCAGAAAACATTCTGAGTGTGAAATGTTACAAGTGTTCCAAAGATTTTATCTGAGGTAATGTTTACTGCCATGACAGAGAACTGTTGTTTTTTTGTCTGAAGTACATTTGTATAACTGTTTGTAATCTAGCATCTGTTCCACAATTTTATCTGAGGTTTTGTTGTTTTCCTGTGATTCCAGAGAACATCCTGAGTGCGTTGGCACGGGTTCTGCGGGAAGACTGGAAACGGAGCACGGAGCTCGCCACAAACATCATCTACGTCTTCTTCTGCTTCTCAAGTTTCTCACAGTTTCACCCAGTTATCTCTCATTATAAGGTACAAACACTAAACACATACACACTAACACTAACACTAACACTAACACACATAGAAACTTCTCCAGCTTCTCACAGTTTCACCCGGTTATCTCACATTATAAGGTACTAAAGTTCTAACACACACACACACACACACACACACACACACACACACACTAACACTAACACACACTCACACACACACATACACTAACACACTAACACTAACACACACTAACACACACACATACACTAACACACACTAACACACACACACACACACACACACAAACATCATCTACGTCTTCTTCTGCTTCTCAAGTTTCTCACAGTTTCACCCGGTTATCTCTCATTATAAGGTACTTCATGTGACGTGAAGACCCACAGTAAGAATAAATAAAGGGTACCACTTGTCCTCTAGCCCTTCTAAGGACGTAGGGGCAGAGGGTTGTTAGTCTACTGTGTCTAGGGCAGGGTATTGAAAGTGGAGTCCATCCCTCTCCTTCCACTGCCCTTTACCTCCCCAACCGAAGTCAGGTACCCATTTTATACCTGGATGGAGTGAGTAGAATCCTGCCAAGTGCCTTTCCCAAGGATACAATGTTCAGTCAGGAATGCCAGGCTGATGAGTTTGAACCAGCGACTTTTCGATCTTGTGTCTGCTAGTCTAGCCATTCAACCATTCATGACATCAAGTGATGTATGCCTTTATCGAATGTGCTATGACAAATCTACTCTCTGTGAATAAAATATGAGTTTATGAGTCATTTTTATTTTCCCCCCCAGATCGGAGCTTTGTGTATGGACATCATCAGACAGGAGCTGGATAAACATGACTTGTGGAAATCTGAACTCGAGAAAAAGAAGAAAATACATATCCTTTCTGAGTTTCTTCAATAATAAATCTGTGTGCCAGGTAACTTTTATTGACATTTGCTTTATGACCATTGAGCAAGGCATAATTACTTATTGAGGTCCCTTTCTCCTATATATTTCACATACAGTGTTTGTATTGAAGAGAAAAGTGTACAGATGTTGCTTGTGTCTCTACTGTTGTAATAGTATGAGATTTTCTCTATACACTGTAGATGAGTAATAAAGACCAGGTCATGAATCACAAGCATCTATTTTGTATTGCCATTAGTGATTGACAGTAATAAGACTTGTATTCTCCAGTACCTCCTTAACTCTTCACACTGGAAGAAAAGCCCGACAGCAGCTCGACTAAGAAGGACTACGAGAAGAGTCTGAAGAAGTTTGAGAGTCTCGTGAAGAAACAGGAACAGCTGATGAGAGGTGAGGTCATGGCAAGGTCATTGACAGGTTGTGTCAAGGTCACTTACAGGTCATGTCAAGGTCACTTGCATGTCATGTCAACGTCACTTACAGGTCATGCTAGCTATTCTTTTTTAGTGTCTGAATCTGTGAAACCCAATAAGTCACTACCTTCTGTCTTATCTACCAAGTGTCTGAATCAGAGGACAAATAATTTGCTAACTTCTGTCCCATCCATCCAGTGTCTGAATCAGAAGTCAAATATGTTGCTAACTTCTGTCCCCCAGTGTCGTTCTACATGTTATTGAACCTGGCAGAAGACTACAAAGTGGAGATGAAGATGAGAAACAAGTCCATCATTCCGGTACTGATTCGGACCCTGGACAGGGACAACTTTGAGCTGCTGATCCTTGTCGTGTCTTTCCTGAAGAAGCTCAGTATCTATGTGGAGAATAAGAACGACATGGTGAGTTTGGGTACTTTCTTCATTCTTCATACTAGACTGCATCAGCACTGTTTATCAGCTATAGTACCAATGGTAAAAGCTAGAGGGCGTTGTGTGACTGTTGTATCTGTGAGTCCAGTTCGATGTTCTCTTGATGTTCTCTTACCCTGCAGGCGGAGCAGGAAGTGGTGGAGAAACTGGCCAGACTCATTCCCTGTGATCACGAGGTATGTAAACAACAGTCTTACTGTTATTACTGTGAACAGAGGTGTGTACAGTATAATCTCAACTGTTATTTCTCATCCAGACCAACGCAGTAGAACCATAGGCTGAGCTTCTACTGGACATTTACAGTATCTTTGTGATATACTATTGCCAGTTATAGAGACCAGTATTCGAAACAAGATTGCCTTAGTTTGCCGCCTCCCCTTGACATCAGAACTTTTAGTTGTAGGCTGATTTTATTACTGTGTCTAGAGGACACAGTAATAAAATCTGTGTCTAGAAACAGAATTGAATATACAGATATTTGAGATGCATGAATTCCTGGCTGAAGCCTTTTATACCAATACAACAGATTCTTGATGACAATTGATGAGTTTGAAATCCTTGCTGACAGGTTTGTTTGTGTGTTTATGCAGGACCTGTTGAATATCACCCTGCGTCTGCTGCTGAATCTGTCCTTCGACACGGACATGAGAGGAAAGATCGTCAAAGTCGGCCTCCTGCCCAAACTCACGGCACTCATCAGTACGTGTCTTTACTCTGAAGTTGCATGAGTGTCTCGTATTGCATCCAGAACTGTACCTTTTCCAGAACTATGCTCAGACAGGATTCTGGATAGTCCACAATCTCCTGAACCATGCCTGTGGCAAATTAAAGATAATCTGATGCTGGTTGAATTTTCCAAGGACCAAGTGATGTGTTGTTTATTTGTTGTTGTTGTTGCAGAAATTGAGAACCACCGTGTGGTTGTGCTGTGTATCCTGTACCACATCAGACCTAATGATAGATTGTTGTTGTTTATTTGTTTTTATTTATTTATTTTATTTATTTTTGATGTTGTGTTCCAGATAATGAGAACCACCGTGTGGTTGTGCTGTGTATCCTGTACCAAATCAGACCTGTTGTTGTTTATTTATTGTTGTTTATTTGTTTTTGTTGTTGTTGTTTCAGATAATGAGAACCACCGTGTGGTCGTCCTGTGTATCCTGTACCACATCAGACCTGTTGTTGTTTATTTGTTTATTTATTTTTGTTGTTGTGTTGCAGATAATGAGAACCACCGTGTGGTCGTCCTGTGTATCCTGTACCACATCAGACCTGTTGTTGTTTATTTGTTTATTTTTGTTGTTGTTATGTTGCAGATAATGAGAACCACCGAGTGGTTGTCCTGTGTATCCTGTACCACATCAGTATGGACGACCGCTGCAAGTCCATGTTCACTTACACAGACTGCATTCCTGTGGTGAGTACAGTACTCAGCATCTGTGGTTGTGGCAGAAATATTGGTATTGTTTATTGGTTTGTTTTTTTGGTTGATTACCGTAGTTGGGTAAAGCAAGATTTTTCCAGCAGTCCTTAGGTACATGTAGCCTGTCTTTGATTTTCTGTCAAAACAAGATGCACTCATATTAGTAAAGCAGGTGTTTCCTCTGTGGTATCTCACTTGTACAGTTTCACGTGTTGTCTCACCTGTAATATCTCACCTGTTGTTTCACCTGTTGTAGGTGATGAAGATGGTTCTGGAGTGCCCAGACAAACAGGTAGACCTGGAGCTGGTTGCCCTGTGTATAAACCTGTATTATCTCACTGTATTATCTCACCTGTTGTCTCACCTGTTGTCTCACCTGTTCCCAGGTGATGAAGATGGTTCTGGAGTGCCCAGACAAGCAGGTAGACCTAGAGCTGGTTGCCCTGTGTATAAACCTGGCCATTAACAAGCGAAACGCCCAGCTGGTGTGCGAGGGCAGCGGCCTGAAGCTGCTCATGAAGAGAGCCTTCAAGACAAAGGACCCGCTTCTCATGAAGATGGTCCGAAACATCTCCCAGCACGACGGGCCAACCAAGGGCATGTTTGTGGTAAGGTTATAACATTTTTGCTGTAGTACCAATAGAAAAAGCTAGAGGGCACTGTTTGTGGTGAGGTTATGTAGCTGTAGTACCAATGGTACCTGCTAGAGGGCACTTCATGGTGAGGCTAGCTGCAGTACCAATGGTAAAAGTTGGAGGGTGCTGCAGTGCAACACAGCAACTACATAAAGCTGTTCAAATTTCAGTCCTGATGCTTGTAACCATACTAAACCTGCAGTGCCAACTACAAGCTCTAGAGGGCACTGCAGATCAGTTAGTGAGAATCCAATGCAGTGTTTTAACCTGTCTTTATAATAACAAGGCTATCGTTATTTTGCAGGAGTATGTGGCTGATTTGGCCAACGCCATTAAGAACTGTGAGGACGACGACTTCGTGATCGAGTGCCTGGGCATCCTGGGTAATCTGACCATCCCTGACCTGAACTATGAACTCCTGCTGCAGGAGTACGACCTTGTGACCTTCATCAAGGACAAACTCAAACCTGGTAGGTGCATTCTGGATAACCTCACCTTTCAACTATGAACTCCCTAAATATTGTTGAGAGGTTGATTTGTGGACAAGAGAAAAACACACTTTGTGGCCTGTCTTGTTGATTGTTGAATACATGTTAATATGTTGTTTACAGGGAATGCAGAGGACGATGTTGTGTTAGAAACAGTGATACTGGTGGGAACAGTGTCCACAGATGAGGACTGTGCCGCCATGTTGTTTGTTTACATGTTGTTGTTTGTTGTTTACAGGGAATGCAGAGGACGACGTTGTGTTAGAAACAGTGATACTGGTGGGAACAGTGTCCACAGATGAAGACTGTGCCGCCATGTTGTCCAAGGCCGGAGTCATCCAACAACTCATTGACCTGCTGAATGGTGAGTTGTAGAGTTAGGTAATCTCCAAGCAGATCTTTTGGTGGGGGTAAGACAGTATCAAATTGGCCAGTCTGTATCCATTCCCCCACCCAAGATCTGCCGGCACTCGAACAGGGAGGAGCACTTCTTTTCAAAAATGGTGTTGCTGCCCCTCCTTGTGTCCCTATTAACAACTATCAAAAATTTGTTGTGCTAAGATTTTTACAAGCGGTTTATAGCTTGAATCTGGGACAAATGCAGTCACCCGCGCACATCTCAGTGGGAGTTCTCGCCTAACCCTGTCCAGATAATACTATATGCTGGTACTAAAATATGCTGGCTGAAACATAGAAATGTCAATAACTGGGCTCATTGTGGTTCAAAACCGCAGATATTACAAAACATATGTTGGACCTTCTTTCCTTTAGTTAAACTGAACAAAATAAGGGGACCCATAGAGAGTAATGCTCAACCAGCTGGCCCACTAGGAGGGCAAGAGCCTTGCCTGGTGGTCAGGGCAATAAACTACTTGGTAAGAATATTTTGATCAGGCAACAACTAGGTGTTAATAGCCTTTGACGTTTCGACTGGAGGCAGATCTTGGGTGGGGGAATGGATACAGACTGGCCAATTTGATACTGTCTTACCCCACCAAAAGATCTGCTTGGAGATTAGAGTTAGGCAGTTTCCTGGTTTACTGCCTTGGTGATTTACAGAGTTAGGTAGCCACTACAGTTTTCAGTCATTATTCGTAGCGATGGGAAGATGACAACGATGAGACGGAATTCAAGAGTGTCAGAACAGAATCCGGACAGAATCGCCTACAGTTTTCAGTCAGCTTTTGGCCATTTCCCAATTATCACAGGCAGGGAAGGGATCTTTGAGAAGCAGAACAAGCTTCATGATGCCATAAACTTGTGAACAAATGTCATGTAGTGTTATCTGTTGATAGACTATTAATGAGGAAGGAAACTGACACACGAAATGTTGGCAGGTAAAGATACATCAGTTTGCAAGCCTTGATAACTCCAATGTTGGTTTCCATGAACTGCTGATAGAATGTTTTTTGTTTTTTGTCCCTCCCAGCTAAACAAGAAGACGATGAGGTTGTTCTGCAGATTGTGTACGTGTTCTACCAGATGATTTTCCACGAGGCGACGCGAGAGGTCATCATTAAGGACACACGTATCCTTCTACTGGGCAGTTCAGCTGTGGAGCTGTAGGGTTTAACATTTTATTGGAGTCTGTTCATCTTTAAAAAAAATTTCTCCTGAGTAGACTTGTACTAACACTTGACAAGGAAATGAAGACTCTAAATATGTGATGAATCTAAAGTTGAATGATTGCATCTGTTATGATGCTAGTGTTGATGCAAACCTCAGGGTAATAGAACTAGCAAGAAAAAGTGACTTCAAATGTGGGCCCCTTAAAACGTAAAGAATGGGTTTCCACAGTTAGAGTGACCCAACACATCAACCAGTTTGAGACTAAAGACATTGAATCCTACCTCCCAAAAATCCTCATACTCTTTGCTGTGCTCTTAGAACATACACTGTACATGTATTCATGTACATGTATTCAAGTAGTTCATCTCCTTGTAGTGTTTGACCCTTAACCCCATCCCAGAAGCCTCAGCGTACCTGATTGACCTGATGCACGATAAGAACGCAGAGATCAGGAAGGTTTGCGACAACACACTGGACATTATCGCGGTGAGTCTGCTCTCTGACTCTGATCCTAGGTAGGCCTGAGATTTAGGATGTCTATGGGTTGGTCTGGTATGTTGTATGTTATACGAAGAACACTGATCACAACTTGGACAACAGGTTGGACATCATCACAGTGACTGTAAGTTCACTCTACAAAACTTGTCTACCTCACTGCCTAAGTCAGGACCTGGCCATCTTCTACAAAACTTGGAAGGCCTTACTGGTATTCTGTATTTATTGTGAATAAGCTGGAGGTCTACTTTCAGTGGCTGGAGATGGTGGAATCTTGGCAGATGTTGTCCTTAAGACGTAACTAAAGAAAGCTAACTAAAGAAAGTGTTTGTGTGTCTTTAGGAGAATGATGAGGAGTGGGGTAAGAAGATAAAACTTGAGAAGTTCCGGTGGCACAACTCCCAGTGGCTGGAGATGGTGGAGTCTCCTTAAGACATAACTACAGGAACTTAAGACATAACTACAGGAACTTAAGACATAACTACAGGAACTTAAGAACGTGTTTGTGTATCTTTAGGAGAATGATGAGGAGTGGGGTAAGAAGATAAAACTTGAGAAGTTCCGGTGGCACAACTCACAGTGGCTGGAGATGGTGGAATCCAGGCAGATGGACGACTCTGATGCTCTGATGTACGGAGACGACGGCTTTGGGCCGTACCTGCACGAGGAGGACATACTGGACAGGCCGGACCTGTTTTACACACATGCAGGTATGTGGGGCAACGAGAGAACACCATAATCAAACAAACAAACAATCAAACAATCCTGGGGATTGTTGTTGACACAATTATTCCCTAAGCCTGTCCCTGGCTGGACGGGTTGTCCATTATTGTGTAATATTATATTTTGATACAAAGTTTATAATCAATATTACATGTGATTCTGCTCTTTGTCTGTAAGTCTTTTTTGCTAGCCCAGGATGCAGTTGCTTGACCTACAGTTTGTGTTGGTAGCCTGAATCTTAGAGATTATTGGTCAGTTGAGGTTTTATTTTGCTTTATTGTGTGATAAAAATGGTTATAAGTTGGCACCAGTGTGCACATACTGGTGTATACAGATATGAGTTACATGTATAAGTTGACGTTGAAGCACAAGACAGAAAAGTCTGGAGGTGATTTTTTGTCCACCAACACAACAGGACTTTTGTTGATTGAGGAGCTAAGGCCAAAGGTAAGTTAGAAACTGTAACCATTTATATACGGAATCTGATGTGTATATCATGTGCCATGGGTCTGTAGATAACTATAGTCAGAATTCAGATCTGTCAACATTTGCCTCTGCTTGGTCTTTAGAATTAAATGCAATTTTTCTTCTGGTTGTGTTAAAAGTTTTGGGGTTAATCACAAGATTGCAAATTCACTAACTTGCTATCGTTATTGATGATTATGAATTCCTACAAGAAATGAAAGCAGATTCAAGCAACCTAGTTAGAGAAGAAATAATTTTATTCTGGGTTCAAAAATACACATAAACACTAACTATACAAAGTACCCAACAAACAAACCACCTAAGAGGTAAACAGTATGTTCTGTAGCACCATGAATGTTCAATATAATAAAATAATAATGCTTAAAAATACACGAGTGATAAAAATGAAAAGATTGGATAACTCTTACAGAGCGTCATAATGATGAAGACTAATTAATACTAACGAATAGAAAATAATGAATAAAGGCAATATTTACAACTCAGGGCGTTGACCTGGGCTAATTTGCATAACTAATTTGCATAAATACTAGCTGTGACTCACAATAACAAAAATGAGATGCTTCAAAGATATGTTCTGATACCAGAAACTAATAATAGGTTTTTCCACAATTATAGAATCTTTCTTCATAACTTACCTCAGTCAATATAAGACACAAATGGCACAATGTATATTAAGTTCTCTATCCAGATATATGGATCTATTCATTCTCACAGTTTTATTCTTGTTTTTGCCCTGTAGGAGGTGGAGTAAAAAAGTAGAACTAGATGTTGAAAAAACAGGCGTAAAACACTAAGAATGAACAGGAATCCTGACATAATTTTTGAATTGAGATTTGATATAATGTTGAATATGATAAATTCCATAAAATTTTAAGAGAAATCAGCAGTTTTGTACATGGTGGTTTGTAGATATACATGGAGACTCAATCATCAGTTTATCACATAAGAAACAGAGTAATAGATGTTCTACAGTCATATACAGTGCTGTACATGTACATGTATGTCTGAATGCAGTCGGTGACAGAACGTTGTTCTTCCATGATTGTGGAGTGACATTTATTTGGTTGGAATACTGAATCCCTGAGGATGGTTCTCTGTGTCACAGGTGCAAAGCGGGTCTATTTACTGAGTCTTGAATAAGTGTCGTAAATAATGCTCTGTTTCTAAGAAATCAAGATGTGCTTGTTTTCATTTATTACATGGGTGTACTCGGTACTAGCTAGCAACATGTGGAAGTGCTTTGGGGAAGTGACTTGAGGTTTTTGGTTCCAACTGAGAAGTTTGATCAAACTTAGTTTCCACACACTTTTACTTGTAGTTGTTCAAGTCAAAGTGATCATCAGAAATGTTAGACATGAGACAGGTGTGTTTGATCTTTATAAACTCTTCACTCACGGTCACATGTACATAAAAAATGTGTTGTAGTGAAACACTGGCAACGTTTAGCAGACAGGTGTGTTGAAGGTCATCCTTAAGGTCGTCCTGAAGGTCATCATCAGAAGTCTGAATGGTCTGACCTTCATCTCTGAGAAATTTGACGTAGTTGAAGCAGAAAGTCCTGGAGTTGTTCAAAGTGTGTATAAATGACATTGAGCTAACACCTGAAGGTGGTCATCAGAAGTCTGACGGTCTGACCTTCATCTCCACGCCCTTGAGGGAGTAGCTCTTGCCCTTCCAGTGGTACCACTCGATGCCCGAGCGGAAGGTGTGGTTGTAGGGCCCGCCCTGGTGGTACACCCCGTTCAGGTTGGAGAAGTGGCAGTTGTTAAACCACCAGCCGCTACTGCACTGCTCCGCGCAGTGGCCCCCGCTGCGGTCGTGGTCGCGGTCTCTCGTGCTGAACCTACACAGAAAGACAAACTTTATAAGCTGGAAAGGGTACAAAACCCGCTGTCACCAATCACAGTAGGGGCATAATCATTATAGCTCTTAAACAATGTCTAGAAGTTACAAAATGTGGATGTTCAAAGGTAAAGATACAGATAAAGATTACAGATAAAGATTACAGATAAAGATAGCTTTAAACAATGTTTAGATTTAGATATACAGAACGATACAGAATTTATTATTTGATAGCTTTAAACAGTGTTTAGTGTTAGATGTTCAAAGGTACAGATACAGAATGATACAGAAGCTGGTGTGTTACACCTAAGGGCGGTTATATATAAATATTTTAAATAGACTAAGTACTGGCTATACAGTAACAGATACAGAATGATACAGTACCTCTGCTTGTCGTGGTACACCATCGAGTCGTTGGCGTTGCCACGGTAACCCGAGATGTGCAGCCGGTACCTGGGATTCAGATTCAGATTTTTATTGTTTTCCAATGACATAGCAGGTACACAAATTAATAGGATACAGTCAGAGGGTTTCTTTTACACATTGTCAACCAATCTTTCTTACCTTGCCTTATACATTTCAGTGTCTAAAATCAGACTTCTGACTGGAGTTCAGCTTGGTGTCTGATAGACATCGAAACGTAAGCAAGGTACATGTAAGACAATATTGGTTGTGTAAAAGAAAACCCCTGTATCCTTTACTCTACAAACCTGTTGAAACTATTTTCGTAAGCATAAAAACAAATGTGAGGTTTATATTACAAATAAAGACAAATACCTGTCGTCCTCTCCATCGATGTAGAACTGGTCGTACTCGGCGAAGACACGTTTCCCCGTCCAGTCCGTCAGGTCGATGCGGAGTTTGTAGTTGCGTTGTCGGGTGAGGTAGTACAGGTTATCAAGGCCGAGCCAGTGTTCCCCGCTAATCGTGCCGAACCCACGAGAGTAGTCCGACCAGTCACGGTTGAAATTCACACTTCCATCTGTGCGTCGCTGGGATAAGAGTAAACAAAATTTTAAACAAAACAGTTTAGTGACAACTGAAGATTTGTGTCAATTGGAGTACAATTTTGAAGCCCTTTGAGTTTAGGAGGAGAGAAAATGCCTGAGAAAATGCTAAGCTCTCCTCCTTTAAAATTATACTAAATCTTGAAACTAAATCATTCTCATATAAATTTAGAAGAAGTTACTAAGATGTATCATACATTCATGAAGGTTAGACATCCTGGTAAACAAATTACCATAGGCAATTCAAACTCTGCTGCTAGTTCTAAAAGTTATGGTACGGAAATTAATTTTGGACATTTTGAGTGATATCCATCACTCTTCCTCGGCATCACTTACGAAAAAACAAACACACAAACAAACACACCCACCTGTAGCACAGTCCAGCCGCCTCCTGCCGTGTCCATGTCACATGATACGGGGAAGCTTTGCCAGTCTGTCGGCTCCACCATGTAGATGTCTGACTTCAGGTGGCCGGTTACAAACCAGTCCGCACAGTCTCGGGGCAGGTTCGTCACCTGAAACAACAAGGATAAAGCTAGTCCCATGGCCTTACTGTTTGTCTACTGTGTCTACTGCAGCTTAGCCACTTAGACATCATCTTAATTAAGCATTCTTGCATTGAAAACCTCAATTTTATCTGTTCTTTTATTTCTACTAATAACTGAAAAGGGAGAGGAGAATTTGAATTTGTATAACGATACTTTAGTTTCTTTGTATCAGATTCTGTTCATCATGTTTTGTTGTGAGCTGTACTTAGCCCAGTGTGGCAAAAATAAAAAAACAGGATCCAGGCTAGACAAATTGTGATAAGATACTAAATATACTTTTTTTGTATTACTAAATGGTTAATCCCAATATTAACATTCAAGGAAGCAAACAAACACACCTTGAGTAGGTCTGAGATGGGTTCGTAGGCTGAGTCCCCGAACGCAGCGTTGGGCTCGGTGTACTGGGCGTCCTTATACTGTGCCAGGTACTCCTGTTCGTAGTCCTTCATTGGCGTGGCCGCATCATTAGCCTTAACGAACGTCAGCGGCTGCCTAACGACCGGTTTCGCCGGCTCGGAAGCGAGGAGCTTTGCGGGGGCTGGTGCGTCTGCTTGGTAACCGTCCGGGTCGTATGTGGGCTGTTTTTCGGGTTGTTCGGGGTCGTAAGTTGGGTCTTGACTGCGTGGATACGTGGACAGCTGGTCCTGGGTGTTTCCGTCGTTGCCGGGATACAGCCAGCTGGTCTCAGACTGCGTAAATGCTGCGGTGTTTCTGCCTCCATCGCTGCTGCTGCGATAAGTGTTTGCCGAGCTTCCGCTGCGATAGACGCTACCGGAACTTTCCCCACTCCTGTAAACACTACTGCCACCCTGGTATGTGTTTCCAGCACTCACATAGGCATTTCCTGTGTTGCTGCCGACATAGGTACTCCCTACTCCGTTGCTTCCGTACGCGCTCCCCGTACTGCCACTTCCGTAGGTGCTCCCTGTACCGGTATTCCCGAGGGTGTTTCCAGCACTATAGGATCCATAGGTGTTCGCTGTGCCTCCACTGCCATAGGTGTTACCCCTGCTGCCATAGGTGTTACCCGTGCTGCCATAGGTGTTACCAGTATTGCCATAGTTACCACCTGTGTTGCCATAGTTACCACCTGTGTTGCCATAGCTACCACCTGTGTTGCCATAGCTACCTCCAGTGTTGCCATAGCTACCGCCTGTACCAGTGTTGCCATAGCTACCGCCAGTGTTGCCATAGCTACTCCCCGAACCAGAGTTCTGATAGGTGTTCCCGTAGCTGTTACCGTACGTGTTCCCCGTATCTGACCCCCCGTAGCTGCCCCCGCTGTAGTAGTAGCTCGGCTCCTGATGCTGGGTGCCTCCGTACCCCTGAGTGTCCTGTGTGTTTGCGTTGCTCTTCTGATTGTGGATCTCCCAGGCCTTCTCTGCTGACAGCAGTCTACAAGAAGCAAAATGTAGTTTTCAATCCTCCTGGGTCTCACACAGTCAATACTTTCGTAAACAGTAAAAGCTATCTACTGACTGCTTCTCTACTCCAAGATATACAAATTGTAAGTCTAGAGCATGAAGGAAAACAGTGTCTCAAAGTCTGGGCACAAAATCAAAGTCTTGAGGCAAACATTCTGATTTGATACTTTGTTTGGTGAGAGTCCTAGGCCATGGTTGTCTTTTGACATGTAGCCTAAAAAACATTTTGAGATCTGAGAAGTTTTCACCATAATGAGTATTTAAACTGAAGCTGCCTGTACTCACTGTGGCGCCTGTTTGAGCTGAATGCCCTTCTCCAGCATGTGGTACGGGTACCCCGCTCCTGTGGTCTCATACGGCCGGACACTGGGCTGGCTCAGCGGTACTCCCTGGCTGGTACTGTGCAGCGGTACACCCTGACTGTGCACCGAGGACCCCTGGCTGCTGCTGAGCAGCGCTGCAGCCTGGCTGGTCCTGTACACTGCCGCCCCCTGTTGGCTGCTGTGCATTACTGCACCCCGGCAGCCCCTGGTGCAGTTCTGTACTGCCTGCTCCATGGAGGCAAGCTTCGTCTGCTGGTGGTTATAGGTCTGTGGGAAAGGCCATAGGTCATAGGTTAAAGAGCTGTAAGAAAGGTGATAGGTCATGAATCAAAGGTGATAGGTCATACATTGTAAAGCTTTAACAAAGGTGATAGGTCATAGGTGAAAGTTGCAAAAAGGTGATATGTCATTATAACAGTTACAGTTATATGTCATTATAACAGTCAACCAGTATAACAGTCATGAGTCATTGGTGAAAAATGTAAGAAAGTGTGAACAGGTGTGTAATACTATACAGGTATTTACAGGTGTGTTACCCACCTGCTGCAGGTGCTGCAGTGTCTGGGACAGGTTCTTGACCGTTGTCTCCAGGTGTGTGTTGACCTTGGCGAGTTGCTGGAACTGCCCGACCAGCTGGTTAAAGGACGACTTGTAGTCCACTAACACCTGGGGGAGGGGGGGCAACATGGGTATGGCATTCACAGAGGCAGGTTTCGAAATGTAAGGAAACCACAATTTGTTGCATTGATGTTCCTAATCTGTGTGCATTTTTGGGTTGTAGGGTCATGAAAATATGAACAATTGGAACAAATTATTGAGCCTTTTGCAGGAAACTCAAGTTTCTTAGCTTTGCCTTCTTATAGCATGTGGTCTAGTTCATGAAAATTTGATCTTGCTTCAACACTATATCTAGAAGTATGTAGGAAAGTACGTCAACCCTCAGCCTGCTAAGGTATCCTCTTGGCGCCATACTTCTATCAGTTATGGGGGTAGGCAGCAGGGAGAAGGCTAAGAAGTAGGCAGAAGTTCTGTATATATAATTTTCAACCCACCTCCCAGGTCTCCTGCAGTTTGACCCTCTGCTGCCTGTTCTCCTCCTGTGCAGCCCCCAGCTGCTGACTCAGGTTCTTGTTCGACTGCTGCAGCTTCTCCAAGGTCGCCGTGACCTTGGCGCTGGCCAGCTTCGACCTTGCCATCTCCACGGACAGGTTGTTGTTCCGCCGGAAAATCTCAGCAAACTTCTCCTCCTGGTCCTTGTCGGTCTCCTGGGTCTCTGACAGACGTTTCTCCTGCGCCTCCAGCTGCTCCATAATGCCGCGCAAGGTCGCGTCCTTGTGGCTCAAGGTCGTGTCCTTCCTGTGGTGGTGGGAGGGTTTGGGCACGTCCATGACATACGCCGGTGCCGTCCCGCTGAGGAAACTCGCGCGATCGTCCTCGAGGTACGCCTTAAACTCCGTCTGGATGCTCCCTGAGAATTTCGCTTCAACCGGTTGGTCCTTAACGTTAGATTCTTTCCCTGACGGCTTGTCAGGTTTGGTTGTGTTAACTTGTAGTGTTCTTTCCCTCTCAAGTCTAGCCAAGGTGGCGTCTTGTTCCTTATTCAGCAATGTCTCCTTAAGAATCTTGTTCTCGAGTAGGACGATTCTTGTCTGAATCTTCTCCGCAGTGGAAGGCGCAATGTCTGCGGTGACACATGTGGGTGACTCCCCCCCGTTGTTGTTGTTGGGTATAACAATGGTATAGACCTGGTTCCCCCCGCTGGTTGGGAGAATGGGCTGGTCCCCCTGGGTACATGAACACAGCGCGTCCTCTCCCCCCGCGGCCGACAGTCCCAACAGGGCAGACAGGAGGAGCAGGATGGAGCTCACTTGGACCATTGTAGCTGTTCTAGTGTATTCCTGGGGTGTTTCTCACTCAAGCCTGGTAGCTGTAACAGAAGTCATAATCATGGTCAGAAGTGTGCCTGGATCAAAAAGTACACTCAGCCTGTATCTGACTGAGTGTGCTTTTTGTAGAAGTAGGATGAGAAAATTTGGAGCTCGTGTTAGCTGGAACAAAAATCAAAATGGTCAGAAGTGTGGGGAGTTAAGAATAACTGTTGATGATATAAGACAATTGACAATACAATATGTCACTAGTCTTCAATCCAGTCTAGCAGCTACACTATAGAATACTTAGTCTAGTATTTGTTGCCAGGTTAAGTCATCTACATGGTCAGGCTCTTAGATCCAGACGTCAAAGGTGGTGGAAGGAATTCATTCACAGAGGCTCCTTTCCAAAAGTGCTGCTTTCTGAGTACATGAAGCTTCTACAGAAGAACCACAAAAGCTAGGACGCATGTATATAGAATATCCGGATGTCCACACCTTGTAACACATGAGAAGTGCGGCTAGTGAGAGATAACTGTGTTTGTGTGGGAGGTTTAGCTACTTAAACAAACACCATAAACCAAAGGTCAACTGTCTGACAGAGTTTAGCTAGAGACATCAGTACTGTGTAGTTACAGGTATGATAGAATTCATCTTGTGATCATGCAATCAGAGATTAAACATTGTGACAACCCTGCAAAAACATTTGCTGAAAAGAAGAAAAAGAAACATAATAAAAGAAGAAAAAAATATGAATTTTGAAGCATAGTTGAATACAGTAATTAATTTTCCACAAAAGTTGACTTACCCAAAGTTTCACTGTCCAATTTGGAAAAGTTGTATTGCCTGCCAATACATTTAAGAAATCTCCAGACTTGTGCACAAACTTAAGAAGCTGAACATAACAAGAACTAAGAAAAAGCTTCCCCTGTAGACTCTGACTAGACTCTGCAGTTGTAAGAATGCAATAGGCAGGAAGAAAAGACTTGCTAAGTAAACCCTCTAAGGTAACAACATAAACTATGTAAAGTCCCTTCTTAGCTAAAACCACAAAGACTGAAGACGAGTTTGTTTTACATACAAAACTCCTTGAGAAACTCTCTCAGGTACACGACCTCAGGTGTGCTGTATAAACAAATGTCTGTTAAGGAACCCAGAGACCCTTCAGTCTGTCCTGAGACGTTGTGGTTTACCTGGTTGCTATGAGATACGTGTTACCTGTGGGGAATGTTAAAAGTAACAGTAAACAAACTATCATTACGTCTGGTGGCTACATGTACCTGGCCTGGACAGGTCACCAGAACACCTGGACAGACTGTACACCTGGTTTACCTGGGCAGATAATTTCACACCTTAACGGCAGTCTATACAAAAGATGTCCATTCCAAGAACTTGATACTAACAGATTCTTTTAAACCTGAGGACAACTTTTCATCAGTTCTCCCAGTTAATGTGCCCATGCAGCTATTTCCTAATAGTATACAAAGAACTCATTATTGTCCAATTCTACAAGAACTGAATGTAGCTTAAATTGTTACTCACTACACACGAAAGAAAGAGGTCTTAAGAACCTTGAAGATTCTTTAAGATGGATGTCTAACCTGTGTTCACAGCTAGTCGTCCATAGCAAAACTCCTCTAGAAGGAAGCTAACCCTCAGCTGTTCACAGCCACACTGACACAGAATAAACCCTTCCCAACACTCCTGCATGTAACAAACCACCGTGTCCCTCACAGCCTGCCACAGGTCACCTCCTTTTCAAAACGGTGTGAAGCTGTGAAAGCATGGCTTCCGCTACGGTGACACCGCTCCGACACGGTTTACTACGGAGTTATACTGCCACCATCTGTCCTCTGCTATAGAAGGGGACTTCTGTGTTATTAAAGTTCGGTGGGGGCGGAGGGAGCTTGTATTGTGGAGCAGCCATGCAGGGTGACCCGGAAATAAACAATGGCTTGTCCCTGGGAGGGGGTTATTCAGGTTGGGGGAATGTTATTCAGGCTGAAGGAAGTGGGGGTAATGTAAGCTGTGAAAGGGATACTGACAAACCACAAGGCTGAATAGATGGGAGCTTTTCATAGAGTGTTTCTATACTAGGTAATTAAGGGAAGTTTTAGGAGGGGGTATCCAATATAATGCATGTAAAGGAAATCCTGTACCTTCTTTCAGGTTAAAGAAAATCACCGTAACCAAAGCTTTGACATTTCTATTTACTGTACTGACAAATGACAGGTTTTTCTTGGAGCTAGACAAGTTTTTTTTTTCTTGGAGCTTTAAGCCTTTCATGAAGTATTTCTATTGAAAGGGTCCTTGGGAACCATATATAATTATATAGATTTATCAGTCAAGTTCAGGAGAATGACTGTAATGTAAGTTTTGATTGCATGACTTTTTGATAGACTACATTGTATGTTCACTCCTCACACTCCTCTGTGTAGGCTGAACAAGCATTCGAAGCAAAATAAAACCCTTGACTTGACTTAACTTCCTAACTTAAAGACTGTGTGCACAAAGGTACAGAGTTTCTACTCAGACTCTGTTTCCAGGTTTATCTTCCATTTTATCATATTTATTTTCCAAATCCTAGAACCAACAATTTTAAACTGTTGGGGCATAATCCTGTAACTATGTATCCCTTGTCTGTCATCCCGATTGGTCCCCCTAACCAGCTATGTCAGGCCTGCAGACAGGCTTACTGTGGTGTCAGCTGGCTTAGAACTAAATACATTCATAAGGCTTCCTTACAGGCAGGGCCACATCCTCATGTCAATCAACATGTCAATCAAAACTGACATGCTATATATAGTCATACTCTCCTCCACCAAACTTGGACAGAAAAATTGGCTTCACTGTAAAAAGTGTCCGCTGTTGAAACAAAAGCTTTGCATTCTGTAGTTGTTGGTTAAACTTTGATATGATAAATATATTATATTAGATGAGCTCTTGTATGTTGGAGACTAGTCATACAAGACTATACAGTGTAATTGGATTCAAGGCTAAAACAATAAACACAGGACCTGCCTTCTAGACTTACATGTAATATAAGCTTAGTTTCATATAGACTGACTTAGCTCAGTTTGAATATGATTCTGCAGTTCACTCTGTTATGGAAAATTTCTCACGTTGTCTTTGTTATGGTCCATTGTAAGGTGGGGACTGTTAAATAACCATAAAGACTCTTCATAATGTGTCTTCAAATAACAGCTGAGAGTTAGAGGTACAAGGCTCACTACGTATACCAGCCTACATGTAGACTAGTGATATGATTAACAGTAATATAACCCGTCGTTGGCAAATGCCCTGAAGCTAGCTTGACCCTGAATACAGAAGTTCCCATTCCATAGCACATGAGCTACAAACTGGACATTAAGCAGAAAAACCAATCAAATCTGAGACCTTTGAGAAAAACCCTCTTAATTCCTACCTTACTGCACGTTGAAGCTCAAGTCTCATTTCTGACATCACAGTGACTCTTGGGATAAGACCTGTACTGAAGAAACCCTGCATCCAGTCTCTGTGTAAGATGTGTGTCCAGCTTCTGTGTTATGATGTCCAGTCCCTGACTGTGTATTTGTGTCCAGTCTCCGTGACATGACACGACCACTTCCTAACTAGGGTATCAGCTGGCCTGCTCTCCCACATACCAGCGACACAGGAGAGGGTGGCGGCAGACAGACTGTCCCTCTCATCATGACACTGAACTTGTCAATCATAATTCTGTACATGTAGGCCAACATATAACATTGACAGTGACAGTTTCGTAAAGTGTTGAACTGCCCTTACTGAAGTTAGTTCTTTAGCTTTTTGATGTTTTTCTAACTTTTAGGAGCAATTTTGTCCAGTTGAACTGTATGTTCCTTTTTTTTGGTTGACAAAGATGGCTTTTGTGTTGCCATGGTGATGACCTGTAGGTCAGCCATGATTGACAGCCCCCTTCCCCACTACAAGCCTATATGTGGTTCTGTGTCCATTTGTGTATTATCCTTTCCTGTCTAACAGCACGCATTGGGAAACTCTGATACTCTGATACCTCAAGGACGGCGAGAGTCCTGAGTTCTGGGGTACAGCTAACTTCTGAGACTGACATGTTTTTATCTGCTTAGGAATTATAGAGAATGACTAGAAAATTACCTTGTGAAAGGTTGAACTTTGAGAATGTTATTTTCCATGATCTTTTTATGCTGTTTTGACACATTGTGTCAACTTGTATTTGTGGTTAGGTCTGGCTACATAATGTATATTTATATGTTTATCAGTTTAGTTACTGTGGCAGACACGTAATGACAACTTTTGTAATTCCCTAGGTACATGTACTCGTACTCCATAAGACTACCTATTTATAAAAGGGTAAATCTAAAGAAAGCATCCACAGTAATCAGCACCAGTAATCCCTGAGATTTGCACACTTCACCAACCAAAAATCCCTAAAAATTTTCACAGTACCTGAAAGAACACCAGGTTTCCCTCCTATACAGAAAGACACATTCTAACCATCAGATTTGCTGGGGTTTGCAGCAGAAATTATCTGTGCAGTCTGTCTGTGGTCCCATGTTAATGACTACCTTACTGCTGTTAAGGTGGTATGGAAGGGTGGCTGAGGACTTTGGGGACATCCTAAAAATACTACTTAGGATTACCTATGGTCATTGATTTTTTTTGTGTGAGTACCTTAGAGCAAGATGATAATTTATGCAAATTTTGATGACGTAATCATGACGTCATCTCGAGTTATGAGCCACGCCCCCTTTTTAGAAAAATCAATTTTTCTGGCCAGCGCTTTGGTTTTTATTCACCATATTTTGTTGAAAGGCACACACTAGTAATAGGAACAAACGTATGCGAGCATTTTTTAATATCTCAAAGTGTTGATTTTTAATGAATTTTTTTTCGTAAATGTCAACAGTGCCATGCGCCAGCACCCCTCCCCAACATATAGAGCGGCGCAGTGTGTCGGCCTCGCATACGATTTTAGTTTATAAGCTTATCTTTCAAAAAATACCACCTTTTTGTCTCTTTCCATGAACATTTTTTCCACAGTTTCATTCTTAAAATGCT